GAATTAATTTTGAGGTGGGTAATGAATTCTTGTAAGCAAACAATGATACCAATATTTGTGGTTTTTTTTTTTTTTTTATCATTGTTGTACATAATAATAATAATGCATACCAAGAAAGCAGTGAATCTTTCCGTTCATGTTCGCAATTATTGTATATTTTTGTGAATCGTTCGGTTTAAAAAAAGTAATGCACAATAACAACAACAACAATAATAACAACAATAACAACATTAATAATAATAATAAGGGTAAACTGTTTTTTTTAGTCCCGTAACTAGACCCTTTATCATTTTCGTCATGTAAGTGGAGTCTGTCGCAAACTAGTCCCATAAGTAAAATTTTTTCGCTTTTTTAGTCTTCCGGCGCCGGAAACACCCGCGTGGCTCGCCGAAGGTGACGTGTCCACCAGGTGTCCCGCCAGGTCAGGGACACCTGGCAGACACGTGGATTTATTTATTTATTTTTAATTTTTTAATTTTTTTTAAAAATTGGATCAAATAAAAAAAATAAAAAATACAAATAAAATTTAAAATAAGTTTTAAAAACAATTATAAAAAATGAAAAAATAAATAAAAAATCAACGTGTCAGCCAGGTCAGCGATACCTGGCGGACACGTCACCTCCGGCGAGCTAAGCGGGCATCTCCGGCGCCGGAGGACTAAAACATCGAAAATTTTTCACTTATAGGACTAGTTTGCGACAGGCTCCACTTACGGGACTAAAATAATAAGGAGGTCTAGTTACGGGACTAAAAAAATAATTTACCATAATAATAATAATAATAATATCAATAATAATAATAATAATAATAATAATAATAATATCAGTAATCATAATAATAATATCAATAATCATACCAAATGAGTCTTTTACAATAACTGTGCATACTGCAATGACATTGTTATGTTGAAAATCTTGAAATAATATTTGTCATTCCAGCATTGCTAATTGATCATATAAAATCATCCGTACAACTGACATACTCATTATTATTATAAGTATAAAATATGTTAGGTTTATTTAACATAAATATATATTAATAATTAATATATATATTTATAAGTAATACCTTGTATCTAGAAGAAAAATCTCTCTGGTAAGTTGTCCGTAATAATTATGGAATGAAGGCGCCGCATATGCAACAATGTCAAATATATCTACATTGTTTCATGTATTAGAGAAAAATGAAAAAATAAAAAATATAACTAAATTAAAAAAAATAGAATTTCATACCAAATAGTTGTGTTTCATCATACGCATGTCGACTTAGATTTCAAAAGCTCGATATGTTGAAGAAGTGGCGAGGGTACTCGTTATTAGGAGCATTTATTTTTTCTAATATTGAATTTTGCCCTAACAACAATCTATATGAATGCAGAAGAAATTTATAAGTTTGTGGGGCCATTATAATTTTTACATTATATATTCTATATAAATCTCCTTCGCGAAGAGTAGTGGCAGAAATGACATTGTCAGCATCAAATATAACTCCTTCCATGTAAAATCCCTAAAAGAAAGTTATACCTTGATGTGGACACGACTAGTCTAATTATTTTATTCTTGTAAGTTAAACTTGTGAACTAAGTAATTCTTATCGGTTGTACTTTAATGTTATAGTCTTCACCGGTGGGCGTTAATGAATCTAAATTCTTGCATATGATATTTGATGTGCCTGCATAATTTAATCAATATTCTAATTATTATTATTATTATTATTATTATTATTAATGTTGTTATTGTTGTTATTATTGTTGTTGTTTTTGTTATTGTGGAATATTTTTTTTTTCAAACCGAGCTATTAACAAAAATATACAATAATTGCGAATAATTCAGAAGCACTATTTTATTAGCAGACAGAATGAACGAAAAGATTCACTGCTTTCTTGGTATGCATTATTATTATTATTATTATTATTATTATTATTATTATTATTATTTTTGTAGGTACAACAATGATAAAAAAACCAAAAATGTTGGTATCATTTTTTGGGTACGAATTCATTACCCACCTCAAAATTAATTCAAATTTCAAATGCAGAAGGAACTTGATTTCAAATATTAACCAGTAATAAGTTTTCTTTACTTTATTTTTACAATTAATTTATTCAACTCATAATTTTAATTTTCTTATTTTTTATATAAAGGTTAAAATTTCTGTATTATTAGACAAATTCAGCATATTGATATTTAAACTCTCTGGACTGCCACTTGTAACAATTGCATAAATCTATGTGAAACTAACTTCACAAAAATGGTATGTATGCATTGCAACGATACAGCTGAAACAAATTTAAGATAATATATCATCAAATATATAAATACATCGCAATATTTTATTTATATTATACTCCCTCCGTCCAAGCTAAAAGTATACAATTACTTTTGCCGCAGAGATTAAGGAATAATAGTATTTTAATTATAGTGGGTAGGTAAAAGTAGTAAAATGACATTTTTATCCTTACTTTTTTGGTATAAAAGTAATGATGTGATGTAAAGTAGGGGTATTTGTGGAAAAAATGAAATATTTAATGAAATAGTTACTTTGTGATTGGACGTCCCATAATAGAAATGTGTATACTTTCTGACTGGACGGAGGGATTATTTATATTTTATATACAATTTTCAATGTAGATATGATGTTAACTTGACCGTGAAAGATGGTACCGGAAATATAAATTTAAATTTGCCACACAAACAATCTGAGTTCATCTTTCGATGTCATCCATCTTATTTCAAAGATTTACAAGATCGGGTATATTATATATATACATATATACATATATTACTTTATTATTAATTATTTTACCATACTAATAATTGCTTTAAATATATGACAAGAAAATAGAGTATAGTTAATGCAGAAGTTTGTTGACACTTTTATAGACTGTGTTTATATATTTATAGTACCAGTTCCACCTTCATGGGCACAACCGAGAAATCGCCACATAGTGAATTTTGTATTAATTGTTGATTGGTTTGAAAAATCTTTGTATATTCCCGTAAGATATTTACCAATATAAAAAACTATTTATCTAATATTATTTCAATAATTTATACAAACTGTGCAATGTACGAATCAACACACTAGTTACATTATTAATTGAATCTATTTTGATATTCGTAAACTGATTTTCTACTGTTTAAATATAAATATTATACTATCAATAATTTTCTCAATTTCTTTGTCGCATGTTAATTTATTTCTTCAATTAAATAAATTATATCAAATCTACTTTAACGTTATATTTATAATTGTTTACATATTAATATATAAGTTATAAAATACTATATTTATATAACTGACAATTAAAAATATTTTATATTTTATTTTTACAATATTTAGTTACTTTATTTTAATATGTAGATTTTTTGTTATTTGCTATTAGAAATTATAAAATATTATAATGTTATTTTCTAATATATATTATAAAAAAATAATTATTTCCCTCTTATAAGAAAATTACGATATTTGAATCTTAATTATTATATCAATACATAGAAAATGACAGAAATACTTATATTAGTCTTTTATAATATAAATATAATGACATTTGTGAAGTAAATATAGTGATATTTTTAATATTAGATATATTTTATTATGTTAATATTATTGATTAATTTATTATTTTATTACACTTAATTTTTAATAAAATTATTCTATTTTGTTCCTTTTAAAAATAAAATTTATGTAATAACTCTTTGGAGTGGACTTATGTCTTTGACTTGTAATAAAACTTATATATAAAAATATATTAATAATTTTATTTTACCTTAATTTTAAGAAATATATATTTTTTACAGATAAAATATATATAAGACTTAATAATTTCAATCACTTTGAAATTTTGTTAATATAAAATTATAATTTAACAAAAATAAAATATATTAAAATAATTATTATTTCTTTTGTCCACAAAATGCTCATTTGGGTTAGACAATAGCATTATATCCATTGATTGTCACGTAAAATAAAAATATTAGTAAATTAATAAAATTAAAAAAAAAAAACCATTTAATAAATTGAGCAAGTAGTTATAATATTTTTATAAATAAATATAATATTATAACATATAATTAAAAACTGTGTAAAACTATTTATATAAATGAGAAGTGAATATTTTTTATAGATATATATATATTTAGAGAATAATAATAATTTGACAAATCAAGCCGGTAAAACTATTAAATAAATTAAAAAAATTATTAAATAAATTAATTGTTAAACACCTCCAAAGATAAATCAAAATTTATCCTTGCCTCATGTCACCTGCTACACATCATTAGTCTAGTGTGATTTGTTTCTCGGGCCTAAGTTGCAGGGTATTAGGTTCGACCGGGGGTTTATCGAGTGCGCACACGTCATTAAAAAAAAAAAAAAAAAAAAAAAAAAAAAAAAAAATCCTTGGCTAAGAGACATGACAAATTAAATATAAGGAGAAAGACTAATCAGATCCTACTGAAAATATCAGCATGAAATTTATTATTTTTTTTAAAAAAAAAACGATACTATTATATTATAAATACAACACAAAAATTTAAATTCATAAATTTTCTCTAACTTGCCTACATCTAGACTATACATTTAAATTCATCAATCTATATAGCTGCCCATGTTATTTTTTATTGTTTTTATTAACAATTGAGATTTTAATTTGAATTTTGATACCATATTTTATAATAAAAATAAATATTTTTATTAAAAATCATAAATATTGAACAGTAGTGATTTAAATTTTTAAATTTAAAATCAACAAATAATACTATAATGTTATACATATAAGTCAAAGTGATGCATAAAATTCTTATATTGAAATACAAAATAAGAGTTCTACGCACATTTTTTATCAACACAAATGTTAATTTAATAAAATTCATACAAAAAATTTCTTGTAGTTATATTAAAATAGAAATGATATATTAGTACTTATGCTGAACTTTATAGACCAACAGAATTTAAAGCTCAAAAAAAAAAAAAAAGATCTTGTAACTATAATACAAAAAATAAAAATAAAAATGGCACATTTTATTCAAACACTAAAATAATACTTACTATGATGCAAATTCCATCATATGTAAAATTGGACCAAGATTGAATAATTAAAATCATATATCCAGAGTGGAGAACACATCTAAAGCACAAATTTGGCAGACCATAATACCAATGTAAGTTGTAATGTCTCCATATCAATTGTTTTAAATGAACATCTAAGCATAAGCATGGAATATTTCTACAGATACAGATATTACCGTTGATGTGGTGTCAACCAAGCCACTGCTCACAGCGACGATCCCCACTGCCTCCAACAGAATGTCGAATGCTGATCTTCTCAGTTGAGTATTTCTGCTGGAGCCATTCGAATGCGCTCACATCCAGCTTGCCAGATACAGACTTTCCTTGCTTTCTACGGTTGAGCTGTTCCCGGATAGAATTCCAAAGTTTCTCAATGGCATCCCTCTGTCGGGCGGTGAATCTTGATATATTATCAAATGCGTGCTTCGCTAGGATGTCAATCGCTGTTTGGCACCTGCAAACCACATGTAAGCTGCATTAGAAAATTTCATAGAGGACTCATGAACAGTGGGTGGAAAGCCGATTAACCATGGGGTTTTGTATCTCTTGGCTGCAATCTCTAAACAAGAAATCAGTGCTTCTCTCCGTGACTTGAGAATTCTCCGGTTATATACTTCATCATCTTGTCTGCTGTTGGATGGAACCTCCTTCGCCTCTCTTTTCTCTGCCTTTGTAGGTGCATTCGATATTAGAGCATCCAATCCAAAAGGATCTAGCTCTTCTTCATCATGACCATGAGACCTAACAGGTGAAGGTTCCTTGTTTAACTGTGCATCTGCACTAGCATCATCAATCTCATCTTCAAGGGCCGTGGCTTCTTCGACATCATCATCTTTATTTGAAAATGGAAGAGCAGATATGGCTTCTTTGATTCTCCCAGTAGCTTTTGAGAACTAAAAATAAAAATAAAAATCCAAATATAAGCCATGTCTGAGATCCAGTCCCATTGCTGGAGAAACAAAAGATAACATTAAAGCCAAATGTCATCATAATTATTAGTATCATATATTCATGGTGAGGTAACAACTAGTAAGTTGACACAATGTTTATACATAAGAGATACGATTAATTTGAAAATAGAATATCATGCAATAACCATATATTTATATGGAGAATGTTACTTTCAACAGTCTACCATTTGAACTACACACCACACATGTATGGCATCCCAAATCCATAGAGAGATGAATTTTTTCAAAGTTGCAAGTTATCCAGAGTACACTTTGTTATTTAATACCAAGAAGGCAGAACATTCGACAGCCAAATCTTAAGAATAAAAATGTCACAAGAACACTGGGTAAATCTAGACAAATAACAGAATGTCTTACAACCAATAACAGAATGTCTTACAAGTGTGTGAACATCCACTTCTCAGAACAGCTAATTCAGCGAACAGGAGGAATACTTTAGACAATTCCGAGAAAATTCAGAGGAGAGTATGACACAAGATTCAGTTTTAACATTGGATTAAGCCTCATAATTTATATACTGAAAGTTACACAATAGACTCATGCTGAAGTATAACTGAACAAATGCTCACAAGGATAGCAAAATCCTTTCATAGCTAATCCAGTACATAAGCTACATTAAAAGGCACACACAAAATGATGGAATATCATTTCTTATCCAGTACTAAAGGCCAGCCTATCAGGATGACTAGTCTCCTGTCAACAGGGAAGGTATTCTTTCAAAATTAAACAACAAAGGTCTTTCAAGTGATTCAGTGTTTATTTTTATTTTGCACACAATGTTAAATACATGCATTGTCATAGAAGCATTTTGCTTATTTGGGCATCTTAAAATATGTGAGTTTAGAAGGATGGCTCATAAATATTGAAAACATGCTTGGAGAAAGAAAGAAGCATGTTAAATTAAAGTGAACGGAAGAATAAAAAACAAGAAAAGATCAAGCTTTAAATATTTAAGCAACACATCATAACTTATCGCCTTAATGAGAGAAAACAGTTCAATTTCAAACAAAACAGCCATATCAAGTGCAACACCACAACCATCATACTTCAAAACAGGCTTCTCAGAACTAAACAGAGAGAAATGATAGCATTTGCATCAAGCTTATATTGAATTGATTCTTGCACAGTACTTATAAGACAAAACTATTGTTAGATATTTAATCACTACATCTGTAGAACCTCATGAATTATGGTAAAAAAAAAAGAAAGAAACATATCCATAGAGATGAAGAAATATTATTTTCCCAACACATTGCACACCCTCCCTCCCACACTTCCCTAAAGGGGTGAATACCATCCATCCATAACTTGGATACTATAGCTTGAAAATGAACTTTTTCTAGGTTGATCATCAATCAACTTGTTACATTTATTGCATATATCCAAATGACAAAGGCACTGCAATATTTAGGTACTCTTACAGGGGTATACATGCTCCGAAACAGGTTACACATTAAGAAGTTAGATGGTAAAAATATACCATATATTTTATAAAGCCAAGATGAAAAAACAAAAAAAACCCATAGAAGTGAATAAGAGCATAAGACATAATAGTGACTGACTGAACACAACCACCACAAGGTTCAATAAAAGTATCAAAGCTCACCACAAAGCTGTCATCTGTGAAAAGATCATTTGCCCAAACTGCCCGAATTATCCACAACTCTAACAGATCTTGTTGCTTCTTGCTAAGGCACTGCAGGTTAGATTTTTATTTAGTAATAATAGGACCTCATAGACAGTAGAGATGTAACCACATGAACTTGAAAGCTTACATCAGCTACATCTTGAGCTGCAGAGAACAGAGCATGATAGTCAGCTCGTAAAGTGGGTTCATTACAAGCGGTCAATGACAACATGGCAGCTTCAAGTATGGCAAAGAACTGATCTTTAGTTGCCTCCTGGAGGCTGCCAGCTTGAATAAGCTGTATGGCTAGCTTTGATGCCTTTCTGAACTTTGATGGGTTCTTTATGTGGGAAGATATTTTCTGCATGGCATCAATTACTTGTTTTTCAGAGGCATCCGTTGTTGTTTTGAATCTCAGACGTTTTGCAGGAGCAGCTGCATTTTAGACAAGTCACTTGGCAGTTACTTGTATAAGCACACTTTAATAAGCATAATTGTGGCAAGATGTTATTAACACAGGATCCCCTTAAGTGTGTATTACTGAAAACATCATTTTCAGGAGAATAAAGGGAAACATATTCCATTAACAATCTTCTGCAACTATTTACAAGGAAAGAAATAATAATGAAATAGTTCGGTTACATGCACCAAAAATATCATTTAAAATCAAAATGAGTACAGAAAAAAAAAAAAAAAAAAAAAAAAGGTATGTTTACCTATTCCTGATTCAATAATGGTCTGAAACTGCCAAATCCAACATGAATCAGTAAAGTTTCATCAATTATTTGAAACATTAACTGTCAACAATACAATGAAAAGAAACTCAAAGACAAAAATCATGAAATATCAGAAAAACCTAAAAGCAATCTCCTAAATATTATGTGTGTTTTTTGTGTTTGGGATCTTGTTTCCACACTAGCAAAGTAGCAATCTACATTAAAATATTCTCACATATAAAATACCACATCCGATAACTATTTTCCAATCAAAAGATCACATCTAAAACCTCCTTCCTTCAAAACATCGCATGCAATACTTATTTTTCATGTATAATACATTCCAAACCTTTTTTTTTTATTTAAAATATACATTCAAAACCTATTTTCCATTAAAAACTTCAAATCCAAAAAACCTCAAAATAACAATCACACCTCTGTTTAAATTTAAGAGGGCAGAAAGAGAACGTACCATCACCTTTCTCCCCCAAAAATACATAACCTAACATTTCATATATTCCTAAACTTAAGACACAAGCTTCAGTGGAAACAAATTTCAAAATAGGGCACAATCACATACGGCTAGAAGCAAGACGAGTAATAGAAAAATTTTAAGAACCTTCAGATTGTGATTCAGGCAGGAGCTTTGGGCGCTTGAGAGCACTCTTTAGTGCAGATCTTGGGAGCGGAAGGCATTCTGATGGTGGCGGTTGGGAAGGTTCTTCACAGGTATTGTTACTTGAAGAATGTACAGTTTGTTGTGGTTGTGCAGCCGTTGGGGGTGGCAAATCTTGAAAAAGGTCGCCAGCCATTAGTAATATGTCCCTTCACGCTTTTTAAAGCTGGTGAAACCCTAAGTAAAACAAAGGGGACGCAAGTCACAATACATCATCATCTACATACACTTGCAACGATAAAGATACACATTCAAAGCTCATGTCTACACATTATTAACTATATAGTTATAGGTTTGATGTTGTGACAAATAATTACAGAAAATATATAAATTAGATTTTGTATAACTGTAAAAGTAAAAAAAAATTGTAATTTAAAATACAATAAGAAAATAATAAAATACATTGAAAAATACATATAAAAAGAAAGGCATTATAATTATTGCATTTTACAACAAAAATACAAGGGTGTGTTTAGTTTGTGTTTTGTCTTTACAAAGTTGATGTAATGTTTTGGGAGAGCAAACAATGTATTTCTATAGGAAATCGTTGGGAATATACAATAAAGAAAATTTGAAAGAGAGAGCTTGAGGTTTATCATGTGTGTGTAGTTGCATGTGTGTGTGTGTGTATAAAGACTGCAGATGGTTAATTTCCATCTGCACTCTGACTGGAATCCCACATTCGTATTTAGTGAACTAATAAATTGAACAATAAGTGCCATATGACAACAATGCTTCCCAGCTTCCTCAATCTCTGTAGCCTTAATTCACTTTACTCCCCAGCATTTCAGGGGTTGTTACCACCCCGCCACCATGCATTAACTAGCTCTCCAAGCTTTTCAATACAGGAATTCCATCAAGCACCACATATTGACATTGAATTCAAAGGAGGAAATTATCTTCTCAAATCACAAGGCTCTAATCTTCAAATATACATTATAATCTATTTCCACCTCAAGCCCAGCACTTCATTCTTCTGCTACACATGTCAGGAGAGGTCTATTGTAGAGTAAGCCTGCGTCCATGCACCATTATACATCGTCTTGAAGAAGGTGGCGGCGGCTCCATGGCTTCGAAAAGCTGATTAACCATATCTCGGCTAAGATTAATCATAGTTATCATGCCTGTGCTAAAACTCGGGAAAATTCTTTCAAGCCACAATTCCACAATACCATTTTGTGACTTCAACAAAATTTTGGTTCAATTCTTGCCACTTGTTAAAGAAAACATCCATCACCTACAGCATCTCTATCCTTGGTTGGGATGTTTATTTTTTTGTTTTTTTCTTCTTGTCAGCAATGGTACCACTTTCAGCATGTAAATAACATAATCCTTGAGGGCCTTACTGAGACTAGTGGAAACTTAGTTTAGCTATCTAGATAATTGACCAAGGATGTGTGTAAAGAGTCATATCACTGAAGAGAATGCAGGAAATGAGAGAAAGTTGCATCTTGCAAGTAAAGTAGAGCAGAACAAGCAGACTAAAAAAATTTAGGCTTGGTTAGTCAAACTCTGCTAGCCATCTTGGATCTTGAATTCATACTCTGCGGCCTCAAGCATTTTGTGGCTCCATACCTCCTTGAGAATCAGCTAGTGTCACTACATATTCATTGGAAGTCACTGTCTCGCTATAGGGCCCCATCCAAAAAGGTAGTATCACCCTGATCCACACTCTTTAGCACAAAGAGATCCCAAAATGCCATTAAATCTTTTGTTTTATGGACCCACAAGGCGACTCCTAGATAGCAACTTCACTACAACTCTTGTTAGTGGTTCCTCTCACTAATCATCCATTAAGTCCTAGTGGTTTGCCCAAACAAAATCCTCCAATGATAATGGATTGTTGCCACTACCCCATGTTCTGCCTACTGAAAGTAAGCTTGGAAACAAGCTAAAGGAGAGTCAAATACAGGAAATTGAAGCCATGTAGCAATTATTCTTTTGGCTTCTAATAATTCAGCTAACTTTTGGCCTTGGCTAGGAAAGATTCTGCTTCACAAAGTGCAGAAGTCAAGAAACTTCATCTTCATAATTGCTTTCATGTGCAAATGCCAATCCACAAACAATTTTCTTTGCTAGAGGAAAAATAAAATCCGAGTCCACAAAGATTCCACTTTCTAACCCAACAGGCTCGATACTACTTTCATCCCTCTATCTTTTCCCTTATAGGAATTGACTGTATTCTCCTCACCAGCAAACAGAGTTGGTTGAAACAGAACAGACCTGGCTTCCTTGATCCCAACCTATCATATGAATCTTAATTACTGCCACCAGTGACAAATACACTATAAAAGCATATCCTTATGCCTGACCACACTTCTGTAGGCACTTTCCATGAAATTCACCAATTCAAGCCTTCCCATCGCTCAAGACACATCTATCTAACATTCTTCCTAAAGAAGTTAGACTAACCATCATGTAATGACTACGTTCCATTATAAATCTTGAAAAAGAATTATGCGAACAGATAATAAATATATGCTATGGTATAATTCACATACATATGCATATAATGTAAGTAACGGTGGATGCGAAGTGTGAAATCAGAACAAATAACAAACAGACTATCGAAATCGTAAATTCATTCGAAGTGGCTAAACGTAACGATTCAGCTATTAAGAACCCTCACTTGAGAAAGAAATATCAGAAAAACGAAGTTGGCCCCCGCAATGTATGGAAGAGACCTTCATTCTAAGTGCACAATAGAAATTAATCTTCCAATCAATCTAAAATAATCAAAAGTAACAACAAACAATTCAAACCCTAGATAACATAGCAGCCGGCATCGAAAATTTGATAACAGAACAAAAAAAAAGAAAAAATAGTCTTAAGGATTGAACTTACAACGTAACTGTAGAACGGCGACAACTAAGCTGCCCTGGCCTGTCCTGTGTTGGAGGAAAACGTCGAAGACCGAAGAAGAAAAATACGACTAAAAGCCGGAAAAGATGACGGTAGGACAAAATTTTCCGGAGTTGGGTAGTGACAAGGAAACGAATCTGGTCTTGGCTCCGGAACCAGACTGGATTCGAATGGTAAAATGTACCAAGAATAAAATACAGGCTACGCACTTGCCCAGCCGGTTTCGAACCGCCGGTTCTCCCGTTTCAAACTGGCGGTTCTGGTACATCGAACCGAAACCAAAACCGAAACCGGTTTTTTTACGGTTCGATTTCGGTTTTCATTTTTCTTCAAATCGTAAACTGCTGGTTCGAACACCCGTTTAGCGTTTTTTTTTTTTTTAATACTCCTCTATTATCCAAATTTATTTTCAGTTTATTTATTTATATTTTTTCTTTTTCATTCAAATTTATTTATTTTTTTTTATAAAATAGTACCACTTTTCTTTTACTTTTTTTTTTTTTTTAATCGTGTCCGATCAAATAAACATAAATTTATATGATAAAGAGAGTATATATTAATCTCACAGTCTGGCACAAGCAGCAGCAGGCAAGGGGCGGATGTACGTGGAAGATTTTGTGTAAAATTCTACTATTTAGAAAAAAAAAAATTATCTTACAAACATCTAATTATATTGAAATAATAAATTAATTTTTAATACTACTATAATATACAAAATTAAAAAATAGTTGTGTAATTGGATGTTTGTAAGAGGAAATTTTTTTTATAAATGATAAAATTTTAGACAAAACATTTCAAAAGAATATATCTTATAAATTTTTAATTTGAATTAAAATTGATAGTTTTTTATTATATTATAATTACTATTAATTTTGTCCATTTTAACTATATCAACTATTTTAAATTCAAAATATTTTTTTTTAAAAAAAATATATATAACCAAAAAATAAAATTTTAAACTAAAATAGAAATGTACATGGCCGTGTATAATTGTATATGGTCATGTAACAACATGACCATGTAATTATATATTGAAATATACATGGTCATGTAACAATATGGCCGTGTACTTTCCAGCTCAACTGCCACGTCACCTCCGTCATGTCCACGTCAGCAATTTCCGTTAGTTTTTTTAACGGTGAGACCAAAATTGATTGAAATTGTTCATATTTGGACTAAAATTAATGAGTTTTTTTTATATTGAGACCAAAATTGATAAGTTTTGATTATATTGTGAACAAAATTGATTTTTTCCCAAAAAGAAATGTGTAAGTTAACCGGGACAGGTGAAAATAAAAAAATGTATATATTAAGGCGGAACGAAGAGAATATTTGTTCATATTTTTTATATTAGCTATTAGAAGTATGATGACAATATAAAAAATATATTTTTTTTATTAAATTATTAAATCTTCATAAGCTTGCAGAATATATAGCTTATGTTGACGTGTATATATTGGATTTTTTTTAATGCATATCAAACACTCCATCCGTCTCAAAAGTATAGTCTTATTTTGTTGTACACGAGATTTAAGGAATATTGATATTATATTGGTAATTGGTGAAAAGTAAGTATAAATGACTTTTTTGCCCTTCTGAGTGTATTAGTGTAAAAAGTAATGACAATTGTGTAATAATAATGAAAAAGTAGGGATAGTTTTATGGTGATATAGTTATTTATAGAAATGAGACTATTGTTTTGAGACGGACGAAAATGATAAATAAGACTATTGTATTGTGACGGAGGGAGAATTTTTTTTTTAGGATGTTTGATTTCATATCTTGTATTAAAATGTATATTTTATTTCTTTCATAAATTAAAAAACAAAAGTTGCATACTTTTTAGTGTTAGATTTTCTTTATAATTTATTATTATTATTATTATTATTATTATTATTATTATTATTTGTTATTGAGAATTGTAAAAATATTATTAAAATATTTAATTGTATTATTTTGTAAGAAAAAATAATGTACTACATCTACGTTTCGTAAATTTGACTCAATTTTTTTGCATATTTACAAAAAAATGAGATTAAATTTAACGGACGGAGAATATTATTAAGAACTATGATTAAAATTTTGTAAGAATAAACCAATCCATAACTCGTCTATTATATTTATCAATATCAATGTCTAAATTAAGTTTTAAGTTTTATTTTTCGTATTTCCTTTTAAATAATCTTATATAAAGTATTATTAAGATTAAAGAAATTAAAGTCACATTATATTTTATTGTTTAATTATATTTAGATTAATAAAGTTATTATTTTTCTTTTATATTATTATTGTTTTAGTGATTATACAATAATTTTTTAAAAACATTAATCTCAATATATAAAATATTCAGCATAAAAAAAAAGTAAATTATTTTAATTTTTATTTTAGTATATCACTAAATAAAAATAATTAAAACAACAATATATTATAAATATTATATAAATTAATTAACCATCTAATACTATGTTGCTTATACTCTATGCCTAAAAAGAAAAGAAATCAATTGTCAAATCTTTGGAGATCAAACGGTGAGATATTCCTCGTTTGAGGGTTGGATTTCAGGTTTGATCCTCACCTACACAAATATGACCGAACTGGAATACAACGGGGTCAATCATTAAACCATAGGAAGTTCTTTTATCCATATCGAATCCAAATTGGGATTCCTGACCCAGTCAATCAAAAATTTCTTTATTTAAAAATTTGATTTTGTGTGAGACCCTAAATAAGGTTAAAAAATGGTTCAAAAAAATAAAAATAACATAATAATTTAGCATTTTGAAAAAATAAATTCGAAGTGAACCGAAATAACCAAAATTCGAATTCCGGAATTCTAATTTTTATTACTTCTTAAAATTGTACTATATTTTATTTTTTATATTTTTATAATTAATTTATAATATTAAATATATATAATAAATAAATAATAGTATATTAAAATGTAACTAATAATTTTGAGTTTTCATTTGTATTAACATATCCAATATATATATAATATATTTAAAATATTATATTTTAGATTTCAGATTAGTTCAGATTTTTAGTATACCGATCCGAATCAACTCAAAAATTATAAAAAATTCAATTCGGACCAATTCGAAAATCAGAACCAAATTTTAAATTTTCGATTTGATTTGATTTGGATCGAATTTATGGATTTTGAATATTTTGTTTACCTCTAGTGCCGGCCTTCAACATGTCCTGCACCAGTAATTCAATTTCGTCTTTTTTAAGGTGACCAGGCCCGTTCTTGACCTTTATTAGGCCCGGGGCAAAATGAAAATATTGAGCCCTTAAATATATTTCTTATATCATAATAATAATAATAATAATAATAATAATAATAATAGTAATAATAATATATTTTTTAATATAAATGTATTAATAAAATATTTTTTATATATTAAAAGATCAAAATATAAATATAAAATTAATGTGACATATTTAGTATAACATAAAAAATTAAAAAAAAATATTTGATTTAATATTTTTTTAAAAATATTTTTATAAACAATCAAAATCTTTAAAAGAAAATTTTCAAACAAAAATATTTATTAAGGGTCTGTTTCTTTTGATTGGTTTAGGGAAAAATTTGGTTTGAATTTGATATTAAAATAATGTTTGATGAAATATTTGTGAGAGAGAAACGCATAGTCCTAATAGTAAAGATTAAAAAGTTTAGATTAAATAAACAAACTCAATATTTATATAATACACAAATTTTTAAAACTACTACTAAAAAATATAATAAAATATACAAATTTAAACATATAAATATAAAAATAAAAATAATAAGAATACAAAAATATTACTCTATCATATCTTTTTAATTTTACATAATTCACAAAAAATATAAAATCATACAATTAAATAAACACACTAAAACATACAAATAAATAATTTAAAAATTAATGTAAAAATTATTTATTTAAAAAATAATTAAAAAATAATTTTTTATTTAAATTTTATTTTATACATTTTACAAAAAATAAAATAAAATAATAATAATATATATTAATATATAGGAGTATATATATATATATATATTATTGGGGCCCTTATGGGCCCTAGGCAAGGGCCCCTATGGCCCTGGCCTGAAGGTGGCCATACCTATAAGGACGGATGAACATGGACTTGAAATTTGAATCAACTCGATTTGATCGTCAAAAACCTCAGTATGCTCGTCGAGTATGTCATGTACCTCCCATGGTTACATCGGACAATTGTGCCAACCCTCCGCCGAATCCCTTATTATTCTGCCTAGTTGATACAAAGTGCATAATTAGATCATCAGCATTTGAGGTTTCTTTTCTGCATAGAAACCCCCACATCAACACTTAAAATTTTAAAAAATATATATATAAATAGTGAAGTGAAAAATATACTTTATTTTAATTATTTATATATATTAATTATTTTTTAATTTTATAAAATTTTATTTTTTACGAAATAATACCAATATTGATATATTTTTTTCAATAAAATTTTAATTAAATATAATAATTAATAATAATAATAATAAATATTTGCTATAATTTATAAATTAAATTATTAAATAAATAAATATGTATATTAGATAAAATTATTACTATTATTTAAATTATTTTTAAAATAGATAATTTAATAATATGATGGAAAAAAGGAATTAAATTGTGTGTAGATAAATTTATTTGATGTAGGTATAAAATGAAATGAGTTTTTCCGATGACACAGCAGAGAGATAATATGACGTGGAAAAGAAGAAAGAAAAGTAAGAAACACATATTGATTTTCATTGATACCAATGGTCTTAGAATCTCCAAATTTATACAGAATTTGTCCAAGGTGGAAAGACACACAACACAAAGGATAATTTCGACACCGCCCGAAGCGAATACATATAAATCAATATTGACAGCGTATCTCAGTATACTGAAATTGAGAGTTGTCTTTCTGATTCTTATGGGTGTCCGTCTCCCGATTGGACCCCAAATCTTTATGTCTTGTTCGGACTCAACCATGCCAAGAAAACCAAAGAAGAAGACATAAAATTATGGCTAGTGCCATTGTCAATCAGGATCGTTATTGTGCACCATTCGATCACCCTAGAAAGTTGCATAGTCCAACGCTAATCGTTCAAATCAGCTCCCTTTAAAATGCGTATCAAATCGCGCTACCAATGCTAGCGAGAATTCCTCACACGACATTCCTAATTTTCACAACCTTAGCCACATCAACCAGTATAGGGCAACCACCGTCTCACTTCCTTGGCTTGTGGCACACATAGGCGGCGCTAAGGCTCCATTGTGCCATTGGGGTGCACGGGCTATGCAGGATTGCCTCGAACTTTTTCAAGACTATGAATAAATATATTTTTTTAAAAAATATTATCAGCGAACATTTCAATAATAAATTTCATAAAAATAAAAATTATATTAATCATATATATAATAAATTAAATATGTGTGTAGACTGTCAGACCTAGTTTATAATACATATATTGACCATTATAAAACTTTACAATATTTTGACTATTATAAAACCAATAACTCAAAAATAATAATTAAAAATTCTAAAGGCGAGAAATATAAGATTAGAAAAAAAAATTGTTAGAATTTATTAGAATTAGAATTGAATTGGGTAATTGTAAAAAAAAAAAAAAGAGATAAAATTTAAATTAAATTTTAATATATCTAATAATAATTATAGACTTTATAAATATTTACTAATTCTAAAGGGAGTAAGATGAGATTATAGAAAAATTCTTATTAGAATTTAATTTTAGAATTAAAATTAGATTAGGTAATTGTTAAAAAAATTATGAGATAAAGTTTAAAATAAATTTTAATATATCTAATAATAATAGCTAAAATTAAAAAATATGGCACTTCTTGAAGTAGGGGCATGAGCAATTGTTCACGTTGCTCATGCTAAGAGCCGGCTCTGCGGCTATGCAACCCGAGGTACGAAAGGGCCCCCATTCCTCCTTGGTAAGTTCCACCTAGTGAATAGCTTTCCGACATAGGTTTCAAAATCGCTTTCGATACTGTACTCGAAGAAGTTGAAATCTCAACTAACTACGCACTGTTTTCAGCTAACCATGCATTGGTCTCGGCTTGGTCGGCCTCTAACCTATCCAAATGATCACTGTTTGACCTAAGGGTGAGGAAAAAATCGAACCGAACTACTGAACTGAACCGAACCAAATTTCCGGTTAACCGAGCAAATTTGGTTCGAATACAAATACTGCATATTTGATATTTGTTCGGTTTGGTTCAGTTCGATTTCGATTTTTTATATTTTTTTCGATTTCGGTTGACCGAACCGAATATATTTATATATTTAGATTATTATATTTTAATATAATTATATTCAGTTCGATTTTGGTTCGAATATTTGAAATATTAGCAAATATTTTTTATTTTAATTAGAATTTCAATTATTTTTTAATGTATACTTTCTTAATTTCAGTTCATTTCGAATTATTTGCAAATACTGCAAATATTTTCGGTTAATCGAAGTTTTCAGTTTGAATACGGTTTTTGGCTTCAATATTTTGTTCGATTCGATTCAAATATTAAATGTCTGCATATTTGTAAATAACCAAACCGTGCCCACCCCTAGTTCTACCTTGTCATTCAAGCGGGAACACAATCAAAAAAATTGAACCAATTGATAGGTCAATAATAATCAAACAAATTCTCGTCTGCCCAAAAGCATCCCCACATTTGATCCTATTTTCCCAATGAATGAATGAATCTCCAACAAAACCCTAATCCTATTTAGATAGTCTAAGGAGTAATAAAAGCCCAATAATATAAAAATCCATTATAGAAATGTGAAATAATTATTGAAAGATCCTATAAGAAACCCAAGTTTGCAAAAGCAAATGTAAGTCAAGTGCTCATTTTCGGCTAGCGACTGCGAATTCTCATGTCATAAATAAAAAATAAAAAATGTAAGTTCATTCTCGTCTCTTGTACATAAGTAAGGGCCTAGTCCCTTGGTAGTTCTTGAATACTTATTGTACATGAGTAAGGGCCTAGTCCCTTAGTGGTTCTTGAATACTTATTCTTGTTCTTATATCTCGATATAGTAATTAATAAATGACAAATCTAAATATAAAATTATGAACTCTTTGTTTGGAAGCTATCATGAATACAACAATTGATAAGGGATATTAACCACAAACATGATTCTTGGGCACACCTAAGGCGTGACAACCAAACTATTGATGTCAATTGTCACTTTGTATGTAAACAATTCATCTTTACAAAATACTACAAAATACGTAATATGAGAATATTAATTTAAAAAATAGTAAAAATTTTGAATTTGAATAGTTGTATGACGTGATATAAATAGGTATTGATGTGATATTTTGGATGTAAAATTGATTTTTAGTATAATATAAAAAAATGAAAAATAAATGTTTGATTTGATATTTTTTAGAGTAAAAAATGAAATAAATAGTGTATATAAAACCCAATCCCCGAACAAACACACCTAAGAAGTTGAGCACATATATTTATAACAACTTGGGGATATATATTTATATAAACTTCAATATGAAAGAATAATATTGGCTATGTAGTTTAAACTTTAAACATGTTTAAATAATGGAGTAAAATTATCCTTAAAAGTTGCACGGAGCCTCCTTATACTTTAAAAAACGTTGCATGAAATCCCCGCTTTGCAAAAATATAGATAAAAAATCTTCTCATTTCACAAAAAATATAAAAAAGATTTCATGCCAACTTTTTCTAAAATATAATGGAATGACATACAATTTTTAAATACAACAAAATTTACACTGAACTTCGAAAACAATTGAGAATTATGAACAATTTTGACAAATAATGACAAGATTATTGTGTTCATCCATTTCGATAGACTATCCGGTAAACTCCCAATAGAAGTTATTGTAATCTTAGGAATTTCGCCAACATCGAAATACAATGTTGTTGCTTAGTTTTGGTTTAACTTTTTATTTAAATAATATTTTATAAAAAAAAAAAAACTAATATATTTTTTATTAAGACAGTAGGAGCCGAATATTAGTGATCTTGGTTTAAACCAACCAAACAAACCCACTATAAATAAAGTTATAATGTCAGCACTTTATACTAAAAGAAAGTTAGCATTGCCAATCATATTTATTTCCACACTAAGCAAAAGGTAAAGTAGTCCTGACTAAAAATATCATATATGATTGAATACATACAAGATCAACACTGTCCATGATTAAAACAGTGTTGCCTTATTCAACAATTTTTATTTTTATTATATATATATATAGATGATTACATATTTGGAATTCTTCTTTCGAAAGAGTCATCCTCAAGCAAAAGCATATATAGTATGAAGATAACAGAACACACAAAGAGGCTACATCAGCAAACTCACTTGTATAAGCTATCAATTTGCTCTTTGTATAAAGATACGACTTGGTCCCGGCGTATTTTCATCGTTGGAGTCATTAAACCGCTGTCTATCTGCAAAATAATACGTGCATAAAAAGGTCATCAGTACTTCAATCGAAGGAGATTAAACTAAACTGCACAAAACCAAGAATTTTACTGTGAAAGGCTCATCAAGAATGAGTATGGGCCCGACTTGGAACGAACAGTCTGAGGTCCTGCGACGATTGCATTCATACAAGCATCAGTACACGATTATATGAACTTTATACACTTGAAAAATTGAATTAATATGCGTAATATTACGGGGATATTTGGGTGTGTTTGGTTTCTATTTGAAATCAAAATAACCATTATTCAGTTCACACGATTATCGATATAATCCACTATTTACTCTTACGAAATATTACATTAAAATACTATTACATCAACAATCCAATTTCAAATCAAAACCAAACAAAACCTAATAAAATACTCCCTCTGTTCCATATAAGAAGCAACATTTGAATTTCGACATGAGAATTTAGGCAGATACCGGGAAAATTAGGTGATGCAATGAGAAACAAAAATGTATATTCATTTTTTTATTTGTGTGGTGTGATGAGATGAAGTGTATTAATTATTTCATTTTTTGAAAATATTGTATACAGGTATTGGAAAGGATGTATTAAGGTGCGGGTACGGCATGAAGGGTTGTTTTAACGGACTCTACGGATTTCAATAAGGACAGAAGCCAAAATATGCCTTCTCAAGAAACAAATAGGAAAACCATTAGTCCTCTGGTTATATATTTTCCCTCACTTCAAAAGGGGGTATAAATTTTCTTACCATTTTTGCAATTCGTTGTGCAACAGGTTGGTCTGTTGCTGCTTGCTGAGTTCAGTTGCAGAATTTTCCACCATGGACAACCTTTTAGCTTCTAGGAGTATCTCTTCTTTGTTTGGTACAATTAATGCTCCAAGCCTTCGCTGATCCTGATTTAATATTGAGTAAAATACCATGTTAATGGAGTTTCATGTTGTGTACATAAAATGGTGACGATTTGAACAGGTGAATATTATCACCTGCCCAATGACCACTATTTGTTGTATAAGGCTACTTCTCATGGCAGCTTCTTCAATCTCAGAAGGCTCAACGTTTTCACCTGTCGGAACATTTGGCATGAGTTCGAAAATAGATTATAGGCCAAATATCAAACAGGTTCAGATTTATTCGGTTGCTTCTGGAAGAGGAGATCTCCAGAACAAAGATACAGAACTTTTCTTTATCTTCTTCTCTGGTTTTTGAACTTCATGTAATTGTATATTGTTTTACTGAATTCAAATAAACTCCCTTTTTTGAAAGACTTTGGACTATGCAACAAGCGAGAATTTTAAATACCTGTCAAAAGAACTATTGTATCTTTTGCCCGTCCCTCTAGAACAATTACACCTCCAGCTTGACGACTTCGTCCTCTAGAATGAGGAGGAGAAATCCAACCAATATCACCAGTGTTTAGCCACCCTTCATCATCTATAGCTTGACTTGTTGCTGAGGGATTCTGGTAACATTTCCAAAAAATAATAATGAATAATTTTTCCCACAGAAATTGATCTAAAGTGATTACAATCATAGTCAGCGACGATTGAAAACATAATGTGAGATTTGAAACAGTTATATTTCTCAACAAAAATGACTCTCAAGTATCAATATTTCTGGACTCGCCTGAGCAAACCTGCCAATATTACAGATCAATCATGCAAAAGAAAATCATAGAGCAAAAGGCTTATTTGGGGAATTGTTCTACTAAGTCAAGTGACACTTTCTTAACAGTTCACATTGTCTTTACACAAGGAATTTGTAAATCTAAATGTTGCAGTTTAGGATCTTTAATGCTGGCTCATCACTAAATCTAAAATATTAACGATGAAAAAATATATGCTATCTGATCAATTCAAGGTCCAGAAGTTTATACCTATGGGGTTATTCAATCAGGGTAGAAAGAATTTTCACTTGAGTGTGGGTGGGCAAGACTTGTCATAGGCTCATCTTTTCCTTCTTCGAAATATATGTAGAATAATTATCTTAATATGAAAAATTAAAATACTTGAGAGTAGACATTTATCACTACAAATGTCATGATGAGAAAAAATATTACCTTGTAATAACCCTTCATCACTTGTGGTCCCCTTACTTTGACAATGCCTTTTGACCCATGTGGAAGATCAGCATTTGTTTCAGGATCGACAACTTTTATTTCTGTTTGTTGAATAGGATGCCCAATTGAACCAAGAACCTTTGTACACAAAAAATAAAGAAAAAAAAGAGCAGCCATTTTGAAATTGGAACCGGTCACACTAGATAAAGTTTGAAAATAATTCAGCTCTACAACTGTGTACCAAAGTCTAAGTCACTAATTTCAGTTTTTGTAATTATTGCATGTTATAGGATATAAAAAAAAGTAACAAAAACATAAAATACAATAACTCTGCATTCGTGGCATAGATATTACCGGGTCTGAAGGAGGCATAGTCGAAATGAGTTCATAACCTACCTATTGCACAAGGAACTTAAAGATGGACAGATTAAGAAACACAAATCAGAAAGAAGGATTGAGAAAGAAATACAAAGGAATCGATGGGATAGCTATGGATTAACCCTGCATTTCTTTGAAGCCTTCACATATTACAAGTGGGTTCACAATTGGTGCTAGCAAACTAATGATATCGTCACTTCAATTACAGAACTTGAACTTGCTGTATATAATTTAAAAATGACCAATATAGATGAAGAACATGTATAACTTTGTAATGTTGATGAGATCTGATATTTCACTATGATAAAACTGGCTATAACTACAGTTAAGGCATAAAACCAAAAATGCCCTTCTTTCTATTAAAGAAGCTTAGCCAGAAATATTTTGGGCCATGATAGCTTTTAAGAAGCTGTCTTCATCAGCACAAGCTAGCACCCCACACAAGTAATAAATCTTTTCCCAGTAACCAGATAAAAAGATATATGGGTCATTCTCATCACTCCCATATCAAGGTGCATCAGTCCATAAATGATATTATCGTAATTGAAGATCACAATCAGAAATCTAGACAGCAGTGATATATCACGATACAAGAAACCCAAGGAATATAAAAAAATAAAAATAAAAATAAAAGCAGATTCAATAAATGGTTTCAAATTTTGCATACTAACATTCTCTGAGAACTAATTCAAAGATTTACACAATAGTACATGCATAGCTCTATTTAATTAATATGAATATATACATTTCTTACATTACAGTGTGGCCTTCGAGCAGCAACAACAGGAGAAGATTCAGTTAAACCATATCCATTTTGAACCTTTATGTCAATTGCCTGTGTCAAGAGAACATGGTGTTCTTAGAAAGCAGCCTCATCACATTTATAATTGATGCAGAATAGAAGAATCTAACCTCAAAGAACTTGTCAACATGAGAAGGCAAGCTGCCACCTCCACTTACACCAGCCTATCAAGTGTATAGGACAGTTTTCTAAGTATTTCTCAGAGATATTATTGTTAACATATTAGAGCTAGCAAATTTAAAGGAAAAAAATATCCAGACAAACCTTTGAAATGCCAATAGAAGAATGTATTTTACTATAGACAAGCTTTTTTGCCAACATATGAATTGGAAACAATAATGCAGCAACGATGCTTGCCCACAGCCAATCAAAGATTGCATAAAGGAGAGAAGGCTGCTCAGGTTTTGTAGCCAGACATTTTCCCTAGGAAAAAGACAAGAAGATTATAAAGAACAGAGCTGAAAACCAAATGCAATATAAAGATAAAAGTATGAATTATAATATCAATACCAAAAAAAAAAAAACTCTCAAGAAATGAAATCAGAAGAATCATCAGTGGTAATTGTTAAGAAGGGATCCGGGCATCAGAGCCAAATGTTATTGAGCAGTGCAAAGTTTTGGTTAATTGACTAACATAAACAAGATTAAATGGACAATATTCAACACTCCCCCTTCGAGATGATAATCTCGAAAATCCATAAAGGATCCAAACCCAATACGGACACCATGGCTATGATACCATGTTAAGAAGGGATCTGGACATCCAACTTAAAACCACTTGGTAATAGGTGGAGTGGCCCTTCACCCTTATATTATAGGGGAGATCCTACACATTTAGCAATGTGGGACAATATTCAACAGTAATCATCAAGATTTTCCATTTGCTAACAAATGATTTTCTCTGTTGAGACTAATCAAAGGGCACAGCTGAAGTAACTTTTTGGAAGTCTAGCGGCAATGAAATGAAGATCAGGCAGAAACTAGGCACAGTTTACTCTGTGTTTTCACACTATTCGTCAAAATTTCCCTCTCTAAAAAACATCATATCCAAAACCTAATTTTCATTTAAAATTTTACGTTGAAAACTTATTCTCTATTCAAAACATTACATCCAACACCAATCTATATCACATAGCATATCTATTTTCTATTCAACTTTCTACTATTCTTAAACCAACCCAATATTCCAAAAACCACTTCCAAAACATATCTAAAAGGATCATAGGTAAGTGACTGTAATTTCACTTGATCACACATCCAAGGGCTAGTACTGACACTCAAGCAGAGAACACATTATGAGGCCAAAATAGTGTGAGATACCCAAGTATTGAGACTCAACATAGATCAATATCTTTATACACTTGTCAGATAATAGCATCATTGAAGCTCAAGATGATTAAAAAAAGGTGATAGGAACACATCAAATTTCATTCTATAAATTTGGTCTGTTAACTCCTGCCCCATTACCATAAACACTTAGACTAATAGGGTAAGAAATGATTGGAGTTTCAAATGGATGCACAAATACATTGATGTATGAAAAGTAGTATAATTAATATTTTGCAAAAACTGATTGAAATTAATTTTAAAAAAATTCTCAAATAAATGATTCTATATTCATTTAAGAGCATGCCAAAGATGATTCTGATTAATGTGACAGGACATCAGTAACTGCACAATTATTAATGTCATTAGCTCTAGCAGTGTTGGAATGTCTAGATTTATGGACACACTAATATTCGAACATTTAAATATTGACCTAAGAAAACAACTATACATCAAAAAGGAGCACAAAAAGTCCAAAAATCCTGCAAGCAGTTCAGTAAGTTCAACCTCGTATATTCTTTTCGCTTCCATGAAGGCTACACTGATCTTTAGGAATTGAAGTGCGATAAGCTTACGTACAGCAGAACTCATATTAATCTGCTTCTGTATTGCACTGCAGTGTATAAAACCCAATTCAATGATATTATTCCTTCATCACAACAACATGCTGAAAAAGGGGCAAACGACAATCAAGAAAATACACTTACTCATGGAATAAATGAAATCAAAGTAATGACAATCAATAAATTAAATTTATCTACAATTAAGATATAACAAAAATATGTATGTATATTTAGCAATTGAAATTTATGTACTATGTAGAATGATCAAGACATTTAAAAGCTTAAACTAATATACAAATCTTTGTGTCCTTATTTCTTTAACATTCACTCAAATGTATGCCTATGCCATCTTTAAAATATCATATTAATTAAATAATATATAGAGTTTATCATAGTGACAGTCTGCTGATAAAGTGAATATTTAGTATGTTTCCTTAATGCAAAGAGAGACTATTTATGTGCATTCGTAAGAAAAAATCTACATCATTGCCTTCCTAGATATTGATTTAAACATGTTCCCCACTGGATATGATGTGGTATGAATCTGTTATGTTTCAGGCTAGAAGGTGATGTTCTGGGTTTTTATTTTGAGCGAACTTTGTGAAGCAGAAATTTTCAAAGCGAACAGCTTCAGTAAGCCACAAAGCAAAACAAGCAAAAGAAAATGAATTGTTCTTAATTGAAAATCAAATCAATCCCTAAGGTGTAGCTAAGCAATTGTTTACTGGATGAAGAGATAAGCAATGAAGTAAGGGCCATCAGGCTATCGTTGATTGCACTAACTTATGTTTGCTAGAGGTGAGAAGTCATTTCTCACTGGTTAGAGGGAAACAAACCATCTGGGGTTAATCATAGCCTTCCTCAAGAATCCCTGCTAGTATAGGAATCTTATTAGATTAGGACACCTGACGGATGTGTTTTAGTTATTCTGGGTTTCGTTATTTGGAATTTCAGCACATTTATAGCATAAGAGCAGGCAGAAGGGACACAAATTTTGGGTAGTTATTCAGCTTAAGCTGGTGCAAGGGTATGCTATTAAGATACCTTACTAGTTTTTCTTTTGTTAAATGGAAGCTACTTTCGGAAGCTACCTTGTTTCATGACTCACTTAATAATGTAGAGATTTTGATTTTGTTCCAAATATTTACTACTTTATTCTTACTCAATTGAACTTTATGGAGAAATACATATTGCATATCAGCAATAAACAATATATATGATAGTAATTTATTAAATCTTCTCATCTACTCTACTATTTATCTATCTATGTAGGTCATTTATTCTATTATATTGTCACAAAACTTATTCAGCCCTTCTGTTGTTTTGCCTTCTAAGCAAGCACACTAATATCATAGTTACTAAACACTACTGTCAGCTCCACAGGGAATGGTCCAAAAGTTTGCTATGTCATATTTTGTATTTCAAGTAGTTAGAAACTGTTAAATTGGTAGGTGGAACCTAAATTTCGCCATCAACAAACTTTGGGATTTCATTTCAAGACCCCCCCTCATCCGTTTTGATCATGTTCCTGGAAGTGCAAACTGTTCGGCAGAATTTTTTTCGAAAAGTGGTGCCCAAGGTACCACCAACTTTATTGCACGACTTTAGTTCTGCTTTAAGTTAGATAGCTCTCTTAGCATAACGATACCATCTCTAGCCCCGAGTTAGATAGCTACCACAAAGCTAAAGACATGTATTATATCCTTCAAATAAATCTACTTTTAATGTTTCAAATAAATAAATGAGTAAGTGCCAACAATTTTCAAGTATATAATATAGTAGGAAAAAAATATTTATAAAACACACTAAGTAGTAAATTTCATTAATTCCCAAAGGGTTGATTCTCTCCAAGATAATTAAGTTATAATAAAGATTATGCATCATACTTTCTCCCATTATTCAACATCCAAGATAATTTTCAATGAAGAACAAGAAGTTTAAAGAGGTAGAATATTACCTGTAAAGCGTCTCATATACTAATGGAACAGAAATAAGATAATGAGGCTGATAACGACGCAAATCCTCCTGCAAGAAAACTAATATATTGGTTCACCATTGCGTGGGAAAGATATTTCCATTTGAAAATATGAGAAGCAAAAGCCCAGTTATATTATATCACTGTTTTGAGAGTTCAAGAAGAATGGCTGAAAGGAAAATGATCTATATTTTAAGAAAACAATATACCTTCAAATTCTTCACTGTAGTGTATACATGCTCAATTCCACAAGTAAATATGAAATACTCGCAAGCTCGTTCATATGCATGCCAGGGTGGCAGCATACTCAGAAATCTATCCCCAGGAATGGCTGGCACAATGTCCCATAAATATTTAATCTGTAGAGAACAACTGTGTATCTCATTAGTTTTCTAAAGGCATACTAGTGTCAAATATAAAAATACAGACCAAAAATGATATGAAATATTGGAACCATGAATCAAAATTCTGCAGTTAGTTTTAGATATAATAATGAAATACAGTTCAAAATCAACTATACACATTGTGTGTGTGTTATGTTTTGCTTTAATTTCAATAAGCAGAACAATAGGAGCAGAAAAGTGTTAGATTTATGAAATTTCAGTGCCGTTAATAATGGAATGTGTGCACTGTAATACACTATATATATTGTTATGTATATATTGTAGATTGTAGGCCTAGGCCCAAATTAGATTAGGGTTTTACCTAGTTATATGTATTAGCGTAATAATCAAGAAAAATTATTTTCATGCGTATAATCTTAATTGCAGTACCTACATATACATATAAATCAGAGGGTTATCTGTACTAGGATACATATAAAAAATCCCTAAGAATCCTGTCCTAATCTTGCTCTAATTATTCCATCTTCATCAATGTCTAGTTATATAGTCAACCCTTCCCTCAAGCTAGAGCGTATATAGCGTAACTTGTCACATATATAGCAGATCCATAATCCACCTTGATAAATATATCTCCAAGTTGATCTTTCGACTTGACTTATTCTATAGAGATGCAAACTTGAACACTTAGGAATAAAGTGAAATCAACTTCAATATGCTTTGTTTGTTAACAAATTTCTAGATTAAATGCAATGTGTAGAGTAGCCTAATTATCACACCTTACTTTTTCTGGAAGATCAAGTTTGTGGCCAACTTCTAACATCAATTGTTCAACCCATACCATCTCACATACTAAAACCATGGCTCTATAGTTTTCTTCAACAACATATTTAGAGACTATATTTTACTTCTTAAATGGTGTAACACTTCCAGCTTGAGCTGACTGGCACTTATTACACTGCCATAACTTATTTGGCAGCAATAGTCTATATTTGAATCATTAAATACTCAAAATTTCTCCAATAAAACAAGATTACACCATTAGATAATGCAGATCTAGTGCGATATCAATGCTGAAATAAAAAAATTCCTAGTTGCCACACAGTTATGAACCAAAAGCATCTATTGCTAGGTTTGAATGATGGGGGCGGGGGGGAATGTGGATTTGTTCGAATGTTCCAAATACTTTTAAATGAGGATATATGGCCATAATGTATCGGTCCTTTTAAGAGTATATCCATGGCAAAATTATATAGTCCTTTTCATTTCAATTGTTTTGGAGAAGTAACTACTGGAAAATAATAATGCATAAACCTTATGTGTGTATTCTAGAATTTTTTTCTAGTTTATGAATGCCATTTTTGAGATTCACACCATCCTACACCTATAGATAGAGGAAAAATGTAACATATTAATATGCAAAGAGGGATTTTTTCCCAACTATGAGCATAAAACCATGTAATATCAGCCTTATTTAATAACTTTTTCCTATTGAATCTTAAGCAAATGTCGGTCAGGTCCAATCAGTGAAACATAGTATTTCTTATGTAGAAAGAACATACAAGGGTGAACTTGTGCCTCATGATCTTACCAAGCAGAAGGATGCCCAGAAAGAATTGCTTTAACAAGTCAAGAACCTTATCTTTGCATAAAAAAATAATGAGATAACAGCTGACCTGGTGAAGCAAATTCTTGTGCGTCAGCATAACACCTTTAGGATTGCCCGTGGTGCCACTTGTATACACAAGTGTTGCAACATCATCAGTGCTTATAGTTTTATATGAATATTGCTTTCCTGAAGTTCACGTCAATTCAACGAATCAGTAATATTTGGTTGGCGTGTCATGAATAAGAATAAAAACAAAATTAAATAATTGCTTTTTGCATAGTACCAGAATATTATCCGAACTTTGAAAGACGATAATTTCATCACTTAAAGACCATCATATCCCAGTAACTTAAACTAACTATCTTAACAAGGCAACTCAATTAAATAATTGTTCTGAGTTCAAAGAAATCCATGCTTCAGTATGCATAATAGAGTTTCAACTTTCACTAGTCAAGCATGAGCTCCAATTAATTAGTACAAAAGATCATCAACTAGCTCACAAGCTTTCAATTTCTAACTTACTAGTTTTAACAATTTTATACAATATAGGATACATTTAATAATTAGTTAATATAGAAGATCATTGAATACAAAAAATTATAGAAGAGAATACAACTAACATTATTAAAATTCGAAGGTTGGCTCCTCTATTAAAATACAACCCACTCAAAAGAAAAAAAAGGATAAAAAAATCTAACCAATTCTATCGCAGTGTAGATCTGCAGATAATATCATAATATAATGATTTCACATTATGGCTGGAGTTTCAATAAAAACCTTCCAAGTATGAGATCAATTTAATGCACCCTTGCATTCATAACTTTTTTCAAACTCAACTGCCTCATAAAATTCCTTGGGACACTGACTAATTAGGAATAAGTGTAAGACCAAGATGTACAATATTACAATATACATGTGTGTTATATTTTCATTTGAAATAGCCAAAATATGTGGCAATTGTTAAGATGTTATCTCACTCAAGCAACAAATTCGTTGGAGACATTTTTTAAATGAAAAATATTAATAACAATACAAGAAATTCAGAACTGATTTTTGCCAATAAAAATCAAAGAATATCATATGTTAAGATGGATATATGGATATACTGCCACATTAAAGTTCCATATTTTATAACATTGTATAAAATGGATAGAATACTAAAATAGACTTACTAGATTCACCAGAATGATGTAAAGTTTCACGACTTGTTCGGCCTAAATCTATTATCTCCTGGTAACTATAAATAGGAACTCCTTCTGCAGCTTCATTTGAGATGTAAGGTTTCTCTCCCCAGAGCAATATGACAAATCTTACAGCAGCTCGAGAGTGAAAGGGTACTGAAATCCGATTGTACATCTCAGGGTCATCCACCACTAACGCAACACTACAATTAGGAAGCGATATAATTTCAATATAAGAATGGATTACAGAATTAATCAAAATTTTGTCTTTGCAATTGCCACTAGAGAACTTTCTACAGGGGAAATGGTCAAATATGTCCAACAGTAATAAAGAAGTTACTAATGATTTGATGATTTAAACAACGGCTAGTTTTCAAAGATAATTATCTCCCTACCAACCACAAAATTTCAATGTAAAAGCAACAATATTTTGGTATAAATTGCACATATAAACACAATGTAGCTCAACTAAATAGCCTAAATTATAGGTCAATATTAAAGAACATATAAATTGATGTCCAAATACTCTTCCTGTGTCCAGATCCATAGGCAAAGAAGATTCAAATCATGCAGAAACATATATTTTGTTCATATCATAGAATATCTTATCCAAGAGCAAACTGAACAATAACTTCAAATTGTAGCGGAGTGCAAATCCACAAAGCCCTTGGTTGGGTTCAAAGTGCTCCATCCAAGTGGAAGCTCAATTTCGAAAAAAACATATTGCAACACATCATTTTTGACGTATATTTGTTGACTTCCTCACAATGCACGGCTCTAGGAACGGAAAGGACTTGGGAACATGACTGTTGCGTTATTATTTTGAGTTTTCTCGATTGTTTCATATACACCTAATTTTAAACAGTGATGGTCACCTCTCACTTACTAAATCTCTATATATCCAAACTCCTTTTTCACAAATATAATCATTTACTTTCCAAAAGAAATTGACATCAACCGATAAAATACATTGATTGGTTATAGCTGGGTTACCATCTTTAATTGGCTTATAAAGTTCTGTATAAATATGTTCGTTCATTGCACTAGAGCTAGTAGATTCGTACCATACAAGCAAAATTCCATATTTTCATTCAAGAGCAAGATTTTAATTTCCTGTGTGCATGTAAAAAAATAAAAATAACGAAGCATTAATATCACAATTTCGGAATTTCAAATGATGGCATGCAGTAATAGTACAAGCATAATATAAAGAAAACTCACTCTCAATCAAATCTAACAAAATGTCATATCAAAGTAAACTTGGAGTGAAAAGTTATTTGTATTACTCAATGTAGTGGTACACACATATACAATCAAAGGGATCTAACTTTAGGAAGAAAGTAAACCAACAAATTAATATGGGTTTGTTTACTTTTGATTATTGTGTGCTTATGTATATATATATATGTGTGTGTGTGTGTGTGTGACATAGTTGTTAGATGTAATGTCTTTAATGAAAAATTGATATTGGATGTGATCAATTTTTTAGGAGAATTAGTAGCTTGGATAGTAGAGTTGTGATCAAATCACAAGTAAACACCATATATATATATATATTGTAAACTTTTATTGTATTCTTCATAAATCATAGTGTCACACATCACAACAAATAAATATACATAGTTTAAAACAGCCCAAAACTAATGAAATATCCCCACCCTAATCTAACACTTCCCTTCAAGCTGGTGCGTACAAGTCATGCAATCCAAGCTTGTTAGTTGTTACACATGAACTTGAATCTAAGGCTCTAAGAGACTTTGTCAATATGTTTGTAAGCTGATCATTTGAAGACACATATTCAGTGTCCATACATTTAGAAAACACTTTCTCTCAAGCATTGTTGGCATGCAAAGGCAACATTTCCTTCACTATGGTGTGACACCACCATGAATGACTCAGCCTCACGCCAAGAGTGAGAAACATAAGGAGAATCTAAAATAAACACCGCTACAGATAGGAGAAAATTGGTTGTAACTAAGAAAATTGTAAACCAAGTTAGGATTACGAGTCGACTGAGTACCTTGTCGCAAGGCAACATGTGATGATGGTATGTGGAAGACAATGAAAATAAAGCTTATTCATCAATTTAAGTAAGCAGCGGTAAGGTAGGTATATCTTGACAATGCCATGTATGCTGACTATAAACCTAGAGTGGAGGATTGGAAATGTGAGCCTCTGGAAAAGAGGCCACAGGTATGAGGATGGAGGCTAGAAGGAAGGAAACACTAAAAAGTATGGTGACGACTAAAAGAAATATATACAGTAAAATAATATTGATGAGTGAAAGATAAATAACACCAATAACCTTTTGAACCCAATAGTAGCCAAGAAATAAAACATTTGATTGACTAATGACACAATTGTCAAACCAAAAGAATGGTCAATGGTGGTTGACTACTGTAAAATATAAATAAATAAATGGTGTGTAAGCTTAAGCTTTTTGGTGAGACGACCATTTAACATCCTCTAATATGGTATCAGAGCCATGATATCCGTATTGGGTATTGACCCTTGTCAGGATTTTGAGATGGTATCATCTCGAAGGGGGAGTGTTGAATATTGTTCTATATCGGAAAATATGGGAACTTCCTCTTACTTATAAGGGTAAAAGGCTACTTCACTTAATATCAAATGGTTTTAAGTTGGAACATCGAATCCCTTCTTAGTAGTCATAAACAAAACACATACAACCAAACACACAAAGAGGTAAAGGGTACAACAACATTATGACAGATTGAGTTGAAGATTAAATAGGAATCTGATGACTTAAGGCAATTGACGGAGACCATTAATAAAGAAGCAAGCTAAAAGGATAATATTGGCCCAAAACTAAGAAAGATGTTGTAGAAGGATGTGGGTTATGTCTACTAAACGACGGTTCTTGCACTTAATCACCCTATTTTGTTGAGGGGTGGATGGGCAAAATGATTGATAATTAATCCCCGAAGACAGTGACAAAACACTTAGGGTGTTTCTTTACACTCCAAACTTTATATTTCTACTATTTGGACTGCGTTTCCCGAAAAAGATACATTTTTCTCATACAAAACATCTCATTATATATTATTTTAATACCAAACTCAAACAAAAATTTTCCAAATCCCATTAAAAGAAACACGCCCCTTTAATAGGACAAGTTAGAATGACCTAACCGCTGATGAAACAACTCAAAAGTCTCGACAAAAATGGAAGTAAGGGTAGAGAAAAGACAAAAAAACTCGTCCTATACCACATAAGACTCATGTCTAGTAACAATTGCCTGCTTGTATTGCAATCCTGAATAACAAATGAATAACAAATGAATCATTAGTCAGCAATAAAAATCTCAATCTCTAGTAAGTAAAATTGATAGATATGAGGTTGATGGACTCTATGGAACACAAAGTGCAGACTCAAGTGAACTTGAGGATTTGTTTTAACATCATTGACTAAGGTAATAAAGGTTAGGGAGCTTCCCAGATAAAATGTAAAAATAGAGAGAGATTACTATTACCAAATATATATGGTCTGTAACACTAAAATCAATAACTCGTGAATACTAAAAACAAAACCCTATGAATCAATCGTAGACTAAAAATCACCAACAAGGGGAGCTTGAGCATCATAAGACGTGGTAGGACTAGCAGAGGATGATGATTGTTGAGATGCCTAGAAGTAAAGTACATTATAATAGGCACGAATTATGGTGGAGTCCGATGAAGAACACTCTTGTCAAATCAATAGCAATTGCATTTGTTGTACAAGGAGGATGTCCATGTATGATATAGCAATGTCTTTGGGATAATGCATTTGTGACACTAAAGTACACTTGCAAATGACATTTAGTACAAACTAACTTAAAAAGAGCCAGCTAGGGGACACCCTGAAAAGAATGTGCACATTGTTAACATTAGTAGTTTACTCAATTAATTTAATCTCTATTCAATCTCGGATAGCCCAGACTTGGCTCATCCTTACACGGGAGTTGGTCTAGCACCGGCCTAACTTCAGGGGCATCACATCCTCTCCTACTTAAGAAAGCAATATCAACATTGCACCCCAAAGATCTATCAATTGTTAGACCCCTCAATAGTCAGGTCAACAACTATGGATTGTTGCAGCTTGGCTCTGATATCAATTGTAACACCCCAGACCGGAAGCCACATTCGCCGGGCATGTCACGATCGTAGACTGGCCCGCAAGTCAACACAAGTCCTTCTACCACGCTTTTGTCCTCACTCATGCATACCCTTGGAAAGACTTCTCAGAGGTCACCTATCCTAAAATTACTATAGGGCAAACACGCTTAACTTTAAAGTTTTTTCGGTCTAGAGTTCTTTCAGTAGGGCTCTCAAAAAGAAATGTGCACATGATTGACATGAGTAGTTTAATCAATCCATTTAATCTCTATTTAATCTTGGATGGTCAAGCCCCAACTTATCTATACACGGAGTTGGCTTAGCACCGACCCAACTCCGAACATATCACATAGGCAACGACTACGAGAACGCCACAAATATTTTGGCAGAGACAAATAATCTGATAGCATGTGGTGTAGACGGCGGCATGTGTGGCACATACAGAACAGTGGCAGAAGGAAACGACATCGACCTACGCACCAGTATGGCGTGTTGCTGAATAAGACACTAGAAATAGACCAAAAACTAGCCGGAATAATTGAACTACTGATTTTCTGCGGTGATAGATGGCATATTTCTGACCGTGGTTGGAATGGACTAGAAGATAGAGAACCAAATAATGGTGTTGGTGTGGTGAAAAGGCTGCTCAACTTGGTGCTTGAGAGAAATTAGGGTTTATGACCAAGTTAGGGTTTTTAGATAAACGCTATAGGCTTTGATACCGTGTAAATGTTTATTGTATTCTTTATAAATTGTAGGATTACATAACACAACAAATAAATATACACGATTTAAAACTAGCATAATCTGACATATATATATATTATATTTTATATTATTTCCTAATCATAGATAGATAATACAATTCTATGTTAACATTTATTCTTTATATTCCGTGATCCTACGTGCCTTTGGTTTTTGTTTGTAATGTATGTTTTTAGGTGAAATGTTGTGATATTTTGCATAAACAATTTGTATGTTTTTTAGGTGAAGTTGCATAGTAAAGAGATTAAAACCATTCAACATGCTATCCCATTTTAAAGTACATTTTTAATATACTACATATTAACAATGTAACCATGGACACTCTTTGAACATATAGAATAATATAAATTTCCACAATCCATTATAACCTTAGGTGGAGAAAAGCCACAACTCCCCTACCTCACCATCTTCTCAGAAATGACCATATACATTTAATTTATACGGCTTGCAAATATTTTAATGTTGTTTCACTCAGTACCTTTTACAATTTGAAATGGCTTGAAGAGCTGATTTGACTATTTTGGCTTTTGAGAGACTAGATTTATGAGGAACAAAGGTGTTGCTCAGTCATAGTCGCAGCACACATTGAGCCTCGTAACAATAAATATTTCCTCTATAGTTTACTATGTTGATAGTCTTGTCATAATATTGTATGCTAGCTGGAATCTGAATTCTGTTCATCAAAAAAGAAAATGCTCGCCTGACCTTTCTGAGTGGTTGTATATCTGCAAAAGCTCTTCATTAGATGACCTTGTACCCCTTACAACATTGATTGCTCCAGTAGCCATAATACCTGAGATAATTTAGTACATTACACGGATTGGCACAGTTGAACATCTAATACGAAGAAAAATATATATCCAATTAAAGAAGTTCTACAAAGTAAATTTTAAAATTCATGATCTTTTTCCGGCTTGCATTAGATATAGCACAGATGTCAAATATCATTATATCTTTTTTCTATAATACAGGAGTTTTAAAAACTAAAAACATTTCTGCTAATCAGTGACATAATCTAAGATATCTAGTTATATAAATAAGATTCAGGTTGCAAAATTAAAGAAGATATATTCATATGTCAATGAAAATATGCTTCTTCTTTTTTTCAAGTCTTCAGAATAGAAACAAACCTAAAGTTGCAGAAATCTAGCGTCTGTGCTAGTAAGCTGGACATAAACATAGAAGTACCTTGATCAGAAACAAGCCACCGACATGAATTGTCAGCAAAAAGAGCAATTTTTTCCTCTGGTTTCAGTCCAATGACCCTTAACCCTTCGCAGAAGTTCAAAATTTCTTCTTGTAGCTGAAAAATATTAGGAAAATGTTTCAGATAAAGCATGAAACCAAACTAGTCATCAAAAAAAAAAAAAACTGCAGCACCAGAGAGTCGAGAAACAAAAAAGGAAAAGGAAAGGAAATCATTAGCAAATTGTAAATTTCTAACTTCATGACCATGAGTGCATCAAGATCAGCAGAATGTTCAATACAATTTAGGCCATGTCCTTTTGTGTTTGTGTTTTTTGTTTTCATTTTCATTCTATTATTTTCCCTCCATAAACATTACATCCAGCACGTTTTCTGTCACAAAATATTACATTGATCCACTATTATCACCTCAATAATTTTTAACAACAAAACAGAAAAGAACACACCCTTAAATTTAAAACTCATGCATTAGTAGTACAGCATGGTTACAACGGCAAATGTTTTTTCGCTAACATGGAGCGAGGGGAAACAAAGAGCTTTGTTCTGATTGTAATAAAGATGACCAAGAGGTTTGGATGAGCCTTCTGCTTCTCATCTGTTTGTGTTTCTTGAGATTTCTTGATTTTCCATTATCAGGTTCCTTACTATTGTAAAGCTTACCTAGATTATAATAAATAGTCAGTCTCTTCAGAAAAAAAAAAGGGAAAAAATACTGGCATTTTTATTTATTTATTATTTATTACCTTTTTTATTATTATATAATGCGTGGCAGAAATAATTTAGCAAATACCAACTCGATGATGAAAGGGGAAGGCTGGCCCATGTGCATTGTTCTAACAGTGATTGATGTATTTATCTAGAAAATGTAACTGTAAGCTAGAGCTAAACCCATGCACACATAGTCGACTGAAGAGTCGAATTCACAAGAAGTATACATGCAACAAGATCTAAAGCTTGCCTCTTTATAAGTCATATTTGTTGAAGGATCATGGTATGGATCCACTAGTGCTATGCGATCTCCAAATTTCTCAGCTGAGGTCCTCCATATGTCAGGTACTGTTGTCCACTCATTAGATGATAAAATTTGATCTCCAGAGAGCAAGTCATTTTCTAAAATGGGAGAACACTTCCTGATCTGCACTTCTTTTGTCTTCAAAAAAGGTGACATCAAAATCCATGTCAGATTCTTATTCTACTGTTTTCAGCAGTTTTTCCATCAAAGCCTCATTTACAACCAAAGAGCAGCACGTGTAAGAAATAACACACAATGCCTTGAATTTTTTCCTTTATTGTAGCATCAATCATGCAACGATAAACAAATATATGCGGGACTATAAGTTCAGCATGATATGCCAATGTGCATGTTTTTGTTTTTTTTGTTTTTTTTTTGTTTTTGGAGAGGAGATTTCATTAACATTAATATTATGGAGCATGTGGAGAGTAGTACCGATAGAAAAGTCGTCTTTTTTCTTTTTTTTTTCCGGGGGAGGGAGGTGGCAACCAAACTAAAAATTCAGCTAGCTCCAAAGCACCACATTTCGCAAAGTGGTTGTCCATCACATATTGGGACTTAGGGATGTGATGAAAACAGATGGAGAAGTATATTGGGGTGTGTATTTCCAGTTAACTGCAGTCTGAGATATATCTTTACCTTAACTTTTAATAAATAATACTTTTAGCAGTTGCATCGAAAAAAAAAAAAAAATGTTTTTTTCCAGTTTCATTAGAATTCATCTTATCTTGTAGAAAGATTAAATATACCAATCATTTTCTGCATATTAGAGAGAACTACATGCAGTGTTTTGGCAATCGTCAATATTCATTTTTGCAGATGAAAGACTGATGTAACTTTAACCACAGAACAAGACAAAAGGAAAGTTGTTGTTAGCATGTTAAGCTTCTAAGCATGCATCCCAAAAGTCTGTAGCATCTTAGATAAAGTCACATAAAGTAGGAAATCAACCCACTTATTTGGATGTACAAAAAATTTACAATCTGACAAAGATAGCAAGAAGAATATACACATTTATACTTGGTTCCGGCACAAGCTAAGAACAGCCATGTCTGACCTGTGTATTTCTTTGTGCGTAAGTTAGAAAAAAAAAAAAAAAAGAACAAAAAAATGCAAACCAATGACCATGGAATTACAAATGTGATACTCTAACCTCCGATATAAGTTCTGCTTCTAAATAGTGGGTTAATAGTACGTACAAAGTCTGGATTTCAAAATTTATAATTCTTCCTCACATATATAGACACAAAGGCGCACACATTTATAATGTTTCTTCTATAATAAAATTAAAAATTGGTGAGAAGTGCTTCATTTCATATATAATGAGGAATATTTATATAGAATATCTTAGGAAAGTTAAAGACATAGTAACTATATTCTAGGAAAGTCACATTCAAGATAAGTAAATTCTATTAGATTAAATCGAATCAAATCTAAATGGGAACATTATAAATAGCAGTCGTATATGCTAACTCTCCTTCTAAAGTTAGTGCATGGATATCACACATGTCCAAGACAAAATCACATGTAACTTTTATCTTGCCAAAGTAAAGATTATGTATTTTATGTAGTTTCTGTTGAGTTCAATATGCTTATTGCAATGATACTGTAGGATTATTTGCAATATGATTGTCAAGGTTTTTCTGAACCAGATCTAGTTCACCAAAAAAATATTTTAACCAAGGAATCTCCGAGAATCGCATGATGAAGGGTATGGAAATTGGGCTTCTGCACTTCCCAAGTCACCAAATTGTCCACCAACAAATGACACATAAACTGAGGTGGACTTTCTGTCCAACTTGAACCCATCAAAATCTGAATATATAGAACCAACCACTAGATGACCATGTTAGAGAACATTACTCCTTTTCTTAAAAGATGATTTAAGATTTGGCAAGATACGATTCATTGCATTCATGTGCCCATCACTAGGATTGTGCAGGAACTGGCTTATCACAGTAACTGAAAGGATAGATCAGGTCTAATGGGAGTTACATAGATCAATTTTCCCATTAGCCGCTTATATACCTTTCTTTGTTTGCTGGAATTAGATTCAAGTAGATATTTAAGCCATTACTCGCTTCAATAAAAGTATCTACAAGAAACCAAGTTCCTAATTTCAAAAAAAAAAAATATATATATATATATATATAGTAAATACTTCCGTTAAGAGAGGAAGAGTCCATATTTCAACTGAGATAATTCAATGCCCTGGAAATAGCTTTGAGTACCCAAGCCCTTCATTTCAAATTCCTTAGAGAAATAGCATTTAAGCTTCGCTATCAAATTGTTGTTACTACTTGTGAAAATCATATCATCAACATAAACAATAAGACTTGTAAAATCATTACTGATTTTCTTATAAACAAAGTGTGTGCACTGCCATAGCTTGCTTGAATTGTACTCTGTAGAGTAGATCAATTCCCAAACCATGCCCTTGGTGACTGTTTATAATGCATTCTTTAATTCACAAATCTTGCCTCTTTTTTGGCATAAACCCAAGGATCCATATACAACTTTTCCAAAGGGTCTATGTTTAGGAATGCATTTTTCAAACCAAACTATCTCAAAGGCTAGTCATGATTAAGTGCAAAAGATAATATGACCCACAATGTTCATTTTTGCCACAAAGTCAAAAGTCTCCTAATAGTCGATTCCATAAGGTTGGGTGCATCTCTTGCCACCAATTTAGTTTTGTATGTATCAATTTTTTCATCCTACATTCTTCTTATCGTAGGAAAAGTTCAACCATCACCCACAGAGTGCTTATGAAGAGCCTAAATTTCTTATTAGGATTTTCAAGAGACTCAAAAATGACTAGAGCTGCTAACAAGCTGAATTGAGCCAAACTTTTCATGTTTGAGCTTGACTCGTTAAGGGCTTGAACTCGGCTTGTGTTTGTATACGAGCTAAATTCCTTTTTAAAACTCAGCTTATTAAGCAACTTTTGTATTCGTATACGGCTCAACTCGACTCGTTAATAGATATTTTATTTTATTTTATTTAAACTTAAACTCAATTAATAATAATAATTATTAATTATTAATTAATGTGTAAAAAAATAATTAAATATAATATTACAAAGGAAATATATTTACTAAATATAGAAATTAATGTTATTTTTTAATGAACACTATTAAACATTTATGAATAGATTTGAGCTCCTTTGTTAACATAACAAGCTAGAATTTGTGTTTTTATTCGGCTTGTTTAGTTTAGCGAACAAATTTTTAACGAGCTTAAACGAGCCGAATTGAACTGAACTCACGAACAATCCATTTTTTTACAAATCTACTATAAATAAACACAAAGACAATTGAAAAGCAAATGCAAAATGTACTATAGATAACCGATAGTACAAGACGGAAAAAAAAAAGGATAAACGATGTTTGAGGATGATTTCATAAAGCCAAACCTATCAGGTTCTCTATGATCACGAAAAAATGTGTCTCATGTCTTAATCCTCCACATGGGGACTCAAAGTAGAAATTTCTAATGACAACAAAAGTGGAGACCGAGACAACAAAAGAGTAATTCAATGGCATGGTAGTATCATGCAGAGTAGCATTGGAACCTGGGGAGGATATGAAAATAGCATCCTCATTTCTCCTTTTGTAACCTTTCTTCAAAAACAATTCATCTGGTCTTTCCTTGGTTCCTATTCATCTGGTCTTTTCCCTTTTTCCTCTAGGTTCGGATTTGGTTGCCACATGGTTAGGATCTTGAGAGAACTCCTTTTGATCACCCCCTAAGTTCTTCCCCGACAATTCCTTTTGATCAACTAAGTTACCTAAAATCCAAAATTTCTTTTCCTCCCACCATATGTATATATATATATATACATATATATATTCATATATATATATATATATATAGCTAGTAATCTTCCCCTGAAAAGGAACCAGAGTCATGTCCTAGAAAAATAATACATCCATGGAGCTAGAGTATTTCCTACTGGGAGAGTGCTCTAAAAAGTATCTTTCTTGTTACTCCAACTTTCCAGTGGGACAAGTTTGGTTCTTTTTTGTAAGTTATCTCAATTAAATGCTTAATGATCTTGCTAATGGAAAGAAGATTATTAAAGAGATTAGGTGAATCTAAAACAGAGGACATGAAAAATGCAAGAGAATATGAGATGTTCCCGGCCCTAGTGACCGGCATTGGAGTCCTATTAGTAACCTGAACAGGCACAACAATTGGAGAGAAGAGTATCAAGTAGAGAAGGATTAGTCTTAAGATTAGTGCCCCTAGTTCAAGAATTGAAGTTGGTAAAAACAGAGGATACGGAGAATGCAGGAGATAAGATGTTCCCGCCTCCAACTGGCATAGAATCACCTTCGTAACCTGAACAGGCACAACAGTTGGATTTAAGAGTATCAAGAGGAGAATTGATAGTTATAAGATCGTTGGCCCTGGTCCAAAAATAGATAGTCGAGGAGGTTGCCCATGTATTACCCTCAACTAGTTGATGCATTACACATGAAGTCCTAGTAAGTTGTTTCATACCGTATTGCCCAAATTGGGCATCTGTGATATCCATGCACTAACTTGAGGGGAGAGTTAGCATCTAAAACATATTTTGTTTCCTTATTTTATTTAGATTTGATATGATATGATTTGATATAAATATTCCATGTAAAAGTTGCACTTTCAGCCAATCTCTAATTATGCCAAATGGACTATAAAGGATTCCTATAAACAATTATTGCCTCAATTACTTGATGTAGTTTTTATCTTCGATGTGGTGTCATTGCAATTGTATTCTTCAGTTGGCCACTTAGGATACTCCAAAATAAAATTACATTTTCGAATATGGAAAACAGTTCCTTTTTTTTCTTTTCTTTTATTAAAGATCCTCCCAATTATTCTAGCGACAAACTAAACAACAGCAAGGAATATTTCAAGAACAAGAGTGTCCAACAATAAATACCATCCATGAAAGCTTTTACAATGGCTACAAAATGACATTTTTCCTAATGAACTCAACAAAATACATCTACACCTTTTATTCTTCCATGAGAAAATGTGAACAAGAAAAAGTTCAAGCATTGTCTTCATGTGCTTGTTTATCAGCATCCCAATCCAACCTCACTACAGATCCTTGCAGCCATATCTTATAAAATTTTCGATAGCAGAAGAAAAACAAAATAAAAAGCAAAGAAGCAAAAAATCCAATTACAAGAAGATTATGTCAGCTTTATCCACTTAACAACCTCAAATCTATTATCTGCAACAACCAAAAATCCATTGCAGTGTTACAGATAGCACCTTTTGTGCTTCAATTTAAATAAAAGTCACAGGAGAGAGCATATCAAACACATCAGAAAAACAAGAATGGGCTATGAAAAGATCGATCTACTTGTCCCCACGCTAAAGACATCATAACAAATAGCGTTAAGAGCAGTTAACGCTAAAAATCTCCAGTAAAGGCAGTGATCACTAACCAAGAACCCGACACATATCAAGAATAGTTCATGAAACAAATGGCCCATTTCATGAGTGCAAAAACATGTTTCCTATACTGGAATCACAGTAAATAGAGCTGATTTACCTGGGAGTCACAGTAAATCCGAAAATTCGGACTCCTTGCAAGAACACAACGTCCAGGTTTCTTGTTCTTATTATAGAATCTGGACTCGATCAATCTGAATCCACCAAGTTTAGGGAATAACAGGTGAGTCAGGGCTAGGCTTGACCCACAAGGGGCCGTCAAAGAAAAAGAAGTCGGATTCATTGTGACAGGGGGAAAGGGAGGGCAGGCGAGCGAAGGAAAGAAGGAAGGATCTGCGAAGCAAGAACAGTGAAAGGGAAAGGGCGAGGAGTCTGATCTGATGACGAAGAGAGTAGAGAGTTGAGTGAAGAGAAAGCAGTGATTATTGTTGCAGAAACAACCGCAACAGTGGCTGCATTGAAGTCTCCACCATCCCTCCGGACAGATGAGATGATACGAGGAGCTGTCGTCGTAGTATTTGGTAATAATATAGGCGTGTTTAATTGTATTTTTAAGACTACAGTTTTAATTTTAAATAATAAAATTTTGAATTAAAATAATTGTTAATATAATTATATATTAATATAATATTTTAAATATAAAATTAAATTTTAATATAATAAAATATACTCTGGTTCGTGCCAAAGATAAGATAGCATTTTGTTATAAATATTAATAATAAATTATGATAATATTTTATTATATTTTATATAAATAGTACTGATATTTTAAATAGTTTTAAAATTATATTTAAATAAAATATATATAATATGAATATTATTTTTGTAGATAATAAAATTTTATATAATACAAATAAATAAATATTATTACCGCAAATTAAATTTTATGAAAAATGAGAATTTTAAAAATATATAAAATATTTGTTAATTGAAAAAAATAAAAATAAAAGAATTTTAAATAGTATGTTAAGAATTTAATTAAATTTATTTATATTTATTAAATAGGTTTAAAATTAATAAATTTATAAAATAATAAAAATAAATCATCGACCTAAAAAATAATAATCATATGTGACGAAATACGAAGACAATATAAAAATATATATATATTTAATTTGATATTAAAAAAATAATTAAAATAATAAAATTTAGAGATAAATCCCAAAATAAACGCACCTATATTAATAGCAACAAGTAATGATTATTTTTGTTTGACATAGAAAAGTGTGCAATTTAAGCTGGCCTATATTCTATTTTATGTCTGTCAGGTCACCAAATTGGCATCCACAAGGGTCAACACCTATATACTACTCGGTCCGTACCTTGACCGCAATGATTACTTGCTAGATAGGTAAAGTGCCAAATACACTAAAATCTAATAATAAAATAATACTCCCTCCCTCTCATATATATTTACTGCATTATAGACACAGTATTTTAGAAAGGGTGTAATTAATAGATAACTAAAAATATATTAGTGAAAATAATTATTTTATAATAGAAATAATTATAAATTAAAATTAAAATAACTAATTAGTTTAATTAAAATTTAAAAAAAATTAAAATGAGATTAAAGTATGTAATTATTTTCCAAAAAAAAAAAGCGACAGTATGTGAAACGGACAGAAACGACAATCTGGACATGGTATTTGAGATGGAGGGAATAATATTTTTTTTATATTAAGGGTGTGTTTGTTTGGGGGTTTGGATTTTGGATTGGGATTTGAATAGTAAAAATTTTGAATTTGAATAGTTGTATGATGTGATATAAATAGGGTTTGATGTGATGTTTTGAATGTAAAATTGATTTTTAGTATAATATAAAAAATGAAAAATAGGTGTTTGATGTGATGTTTTTGGGGAAAAAAAATTGAATGAATAGTAGAAATCCTCCAAAATCCTTCAAACAAACAAACCCTGAGTAAAAATCACTGGTAATTGGATTAGGACAATTTATAGCCTGATGTCAAATTAATGGGTTGGTTAGATCAAGTGCCAAATACACTAAAATATAATAATAAAATAATACTCTCTTCGTCTCAAATACCGTACAACATTTATGTTTAGCACGAGAATTTAGGTGGGAAGTATTTAATATGATAATTTGAGATAATTTGGATATTAAGTGATGTAATTGGAAAGAGAAATGATTATTTGATTTTTTTATTTGAGTGATATGATATGATTTATTGTATTTAGTATTTGAAATCTTGTTTGGTTGGTAAACTAAGTGAGATTTATATTTCCAAATTCAGTTTGTTTTACAAATTAATTAAAGGATTTGGATTTTAGTTTATTCTAATAAACTTTATATCTATATATTTTTTTTTTCCGTGAACTTTATTTTTTACTAATTTCAGTGTATTCTAATAAAAAAATTTTAATACAATTTTTGAGTAATAATATAAATAACATTAATGATTATAAATAAATATGTAATTTGTAGTAGTATGCTTAAATATAATATTATACTCCCTCCGTCCAAAAGAGGTATCTTATTGAGAGTTGGCATCTGAATTAAAGAATAATAATATTTAATTAAAAGTGGATATAAAGTAGAATATAAATGACTAAAATATCCTTACTTTTTTAATGATTTTAAAGAGTACAGTAATAATTATGAGTAGTATGGAAAAGTAGAAATAATTTTGTTATAAAGTTGGGGACCACGGCTACTAAATAAGAAAACAAGACAATTGTTTTGAGACGGACGAAAATGAAAAAATAAGACAAATCTTTTGAAATTGAGGGAGTATTTTATAAAACCAATAAAATATAATTTATATGTAAATATATATACATTTAAATATTAAAAAAGAAGAACAAATATGATTTTATTTTTTTTAGATAGGAGGATATAATAATAAAATGTAAAATGTCCGAACCTAATACCCTGCAAATCAGGCCCGACGGAAAAGTCACACTAGGCGAACCATGTGTGGAGGTGCTACACCACAGGCCATCCCTTACAGGACATGTTATCAACATTTTAATCGGGACATGTCATCAGCATTTTTAAAATTATACATAATTGTGCATGTATTACCACATTATTATATACATTGAGTGCGTATACAAAGATTAGATTATAATTTTTAAATAATTTTAATAAATTATATACTCAGAAAATTAATTAATATAACGTTTATTTTGTATGATTAAATAATATATAAAATTATTCTCTCTTCGTCCCAAAAGATTTGTCTTATTTTTCAATTTTCGTCCGTCCCAAAACAATTGTCTTGTTTCCTTATTTAGTAGCTGTGGTCCCCACTTTATAACAAAATTATTCCTACTTTTCCATACTACCTCTAGTTATTACTCTAACGTACTCTTTAAGATCCTTAAAAAGTAAAGACATTTTAGTCATTTATATTATACTTTATACCCAATTTCAATTAAATATTACTATTCCTTAATTCGTGTGCCAACTCTCAATAAGACACTTCTTTTGGAACGGATGGAGTATTATTTTTACTTTGTTTGATAAGGGATGATTATTTTTTTTATTTAAAATACTTTTAATAATCTTATTATAAATTATAGTAATACATTTTATTTTATACATTGTTATAATAATATAATATGTAACAATATATAAAAAATTAATTGTGATATTATTACCACATAATACGTATATATAATTGATATTTTATTATTATTATTTATTAAGTATATTTAATTTTAACCCGAGAATTATAAATTAAATTTTAGTAATATATTGTATATCATTCTTATCGATTTATATTATTGATTAAAAATTTAAAAATAAATAAATTACATTTCAAATGAAATCAAATATAATAAAGAGAAAATTTTATTATATTTATATAAAATATTTTTAGGTGTTTATGGAAAAGAGTAATTTAGATATTTTATTAAGTAGGATTAAATTATATAGTGGATAGATTGTATTAATAATAGTATAAATTACTCCATTTGTCCCACATAATTTGTTCCTATTTTCTATTTTCGTTCGTTCCACATAATTTGTCATTTCTTTTTTTGGAAAATTAATTATACATTTTAATTATAATTTTTTTTAATCTTAATTAAACTATTTAGTTATCTTAATCTTAATCTATAATTATTTTTACTAAATAATAATTATTTTTACTAATATATTTCTTAATTACTTACTAATTATACTTTACCTAAATTCTCGTGTCTACAGTAATACACCCATATTACAGGGGACGGAGAGAGTAGTATAATTGTATGAGACCTTTAATTATATAGAATCCTAATACATTAAAGTAAATCTCATGTAGCACACATTTCATATAAATGTACTTCCTCCATCTGCCAAATTTAAAGATATTTCATTTGTAATTTACGAATAAAACATCTCTAAATTTAACGGACGAAAAAAAAAATATATGTTATGTGAATGTATGATTGGCATAATTTCTAGTAATTTATTTACTCAATTTTTTACCTACAAATAGGGCATCATTGTACACAATATCAATAACAAGTTTCCTCAATTACAATCACCCCATCTCAATTTCTCTTTAAATTTCTTTTTTTTTTTTCTTTTTTTTAGTGCACGTACATCTATAAATATACATATATACATGCTCAAACATGCATCTATAAAATATACTTTCTTTTGTTTCTAATATCGTCTCACATTTATTGTAGATATGTGAATTTAAAAAGAGTATAATTAGTAAATAATTACAAATATATTAGTAAAATTAATTATAAATTATACTTTCTTCGTCATTCAATCTTCTCTCGTTTGACCAGACATCATTTTAATGTGAAAAATATTTTTTGATTTTTTTGTAGTTTTCAGTACATAAAGTATATGAAAAAATAAAATAAAATTTCAGTACAAGATAAAAGTATTGATAAAAGTAACTACAATAATTAATTTTTTAATTATGTTAAACATGTTAAGATTTTATATATACAAACAAAAAAATAAAAAGAAAATTTGTTGCTTTACAGCAACAACAAAAAGTGGACTTGTTTTATTTTGGATTCAGATCGTTGTGCTGAAAATAATTTCAGCCCTCGAATCTTGGAGGATGATGAATTAGACGATGATGATGATGATGATGATGAGTAGGGTTGCGTTGGTGGTGGCAACGTGGAGGTGGTGGCAAAGAGTTGAGTTTGTTGATGGTGGACTGGTGGTGATGGTAGAAGGGCACGAACAATTGGGTGGAGGAGAAGAAGGGGTGGGTGGTGGAGGAGGAGGCGGAGGCGGCGGCGCTGGTGGCGACAGTGGTGGTAGAGGAGGACAATTTAATGGAGATGGAGAAAACGGTGACGGTGATGTTGGAGGACAGCTTGGATGGAAATAGAAGAGGAGACAGCCAGTGTGGTAGTGAAGGAAAAGAAAAAAAATTGGTAGGTGTGGTGGGTGGAGGTGGAGGCGGCAGTGGCGGTGAAGGAGGATTCAGATTGATAGGGGCTGATTTCGGAGGATCAGCATGTGCTGATTTCTAAGTGTTCAGCACAGGATCCGGATCCTTTCATTTTTTATTTTAAAAAAAAAAAACATACAAACCTATATTGAAGCAAAAAATATTCCCCACAAAATATAGAAAAATCAAGAGCAAAAAATAGTTTAAAATACACTAAAATATGCAATGCCAAAAAATATATTTCCCTCCAAAAATCACTGTATAATTCATTACCCAAACATGTTTATTAATGTCAAATAAATTCCTTCAAAATACAACAAAATTAAGAGCAAAACTAGTTTATAAATACCTCACATTTAAATAAACTATTTCAGATCAGTCATTTATAGAGTCCTTCAATTAAAATTTGGTATTTTCTCCACTTAAAATTATGGAATAAGAAAAGAGAAAGGTTTTAGACCTGATAGCCGAGACAAAAAAATTTTGGTAATTAGAGAACGAAAATAGAGAGACAACAGAATCATCTTTCAGGCAACAAAGCGCCTTTATCATAAGGATGACTATGACAATTAGTCTCTCGAACATGCATAAAGATAGATTGATGCCATAATGTCACTTTAACAACTTAACAGAAAATATGTCAATTAGTAATGGAAAAGGCCAAAAGCCGCCTACAACCGTTTTTCAACTGTGGGAAACAAATGGGATGCATCCTAAATAACCAACAAATCTCTCATGAAAACTTCATTTATCACTAACAGATTGCATGAAACATATCGACAAAATACCCCATATCAGTAAGTAGAATTATCGCACTAAAAACCCAAATCAAGTACATTTCCACGATGAGATCCCTCAGCTTTGGGTGTCTTAGCCCTCTGAGATGCCCCAAAATTATAAAAATTATCAAAATACGAAGGACATCAAGAAAAAGAGCATAAACAACGTCACTCCATGACTACTAATGGACAAAGAAATTATACCAGCACGAGGAGTATCAATATTGTTGTGAACCATATTTTTTAAATTTTCCATCATCACTTCATTTGTATCCATCAAATCCACATCAAAAATGCCAAGTTCGTAGCCCTCAAACCCTTCCAGCAAAAACCACAAGAGATAGAAACAAAACAAAAAAAAAAAAAACAAAATTGCTCATAACTTTCTCATAGTTTCGAAACTCAACGTAAATCTCTCATTTACTTTAAGAATTGTGTGGCCTTCTTATACTTTAAAAAACGTCAAAAAAATTAATAATTTTAAAATTAAAAATATAAAAAAATATATAATTTTAATATTAAAAATTAATAATTTAAAAATTAAAAATTAAAAATATAAAAAATTATTTTACATTTGAATACAATTTCAAACCATTTCAACGTAAATATATATAACTGTATTGAAATGTAAAATTAATTTTAATACTATAATATGCAAAAATAAAAAAAATATTTGTGTAATTGGAAGTTTGTAAGAGGAAAAATTTGATGAATAATAGAATTTTAGAAAAAATCTTTAAAAAAAAAAAAAAAAACATATCCTATAATTTTTATATTTGAATTAAAATTGATACATTTTAATTATATTAGGATTACAATTTATTTATTTTTTCATTTTAACTATATCAACTTTTTTAAATTCAAAATATTTTTTTTAAAAAAATAAATTTTATACCAAATCAGAAAGTTACACGATCGTGTAGAATTATGTATGGCATCGTAACAACATAGTCACGTATAATTGTACACTGAAATATACATGGTCATGTATACATTGCCGTGTAGTTTTCAGATCAGCTGCCACGTCAACTCCGTTACGTCCATGTCAGCAATTTCCGTTAGTTTTTTAACGGTAGGTCCAAAATTAATTGAAATTATTTATAATGGGACCAAAATTGATTGAAATTATTTATAATACAACCAAAATTGATTGAAATTGTTTATAATAGAACTAAAATTGATGAATTTTTTATATTGAGACTAAAATTGATAAATTTTAATTATATTAGAACAAAAATTAATTTTTCCTCTGAAATTTTTTTATATTTTCTCGTTCTCAATTATAATTGTATATTTATTTATTTTTATTAGATTAATAAATACTATTTTATTTATAAGTGGTATCATTTGCAATTTATGTAAAAAAATTTTAGTATTAATAATAAAACACTTTATACTATAACAAGATATATACTTTTTAATTATAATTATATTATATAAAAAATACAGTTTCATTGATATAAATATATATATATATATTTATACAATTTTCTATATATGTAATATTCCATAAATTATATTTTATCACAAAAATCAACTTTCAATACTAAATATTATTTTTTATATTATATAATATTTTGTACTTCAAATTAAAATACTAAACAAAGAATAGACCACAAAACTTTTTATACAAAATACTCCCTTCATCCCAAGTTGGATGTTTGAGTCACTGTAGACGCGACCAGAATTTAGAATAACTATAATTAGTAGATAATTAATAATGTATTAACAGAAATAATTATCCTATAATATAAATAATTATAAATTAAAATTAAAATAAGTAATTAGTTTAATTAAAATTACAAAAAAATAAATTAAAAAATGTAAAATTAGATTAAAGTGTATAATCATTTTTTTTAAAAAAAAAAAGTGACATGTGATGTGGGACGAACATAAATGGCAATATGAACATGCTAAGTGGGACGAAGAGAATATTAACTTTCCAATCTCCACCATCTTCTCCCTTTTTTTTTGTTCGATTATTTTTTTTATAACTCCACTATATTGTCAAGAGGATCGAGCATATTAAGATGACTTTAAATATGTGGAAGTTAACTAACAAACAGGTTCTTACATTGTTTTTCAAACAAAAAAAAAAAAACTTTTGATTCAAATAAGAAACTAATGATTCGAAAATATATATGATGAATCGGACTATAAAAAAATCTATCTGGACAACTCTGCCCCAAATCAATCAGCCCTTTTGCCACTAAGCCAACCAACAAACCATCTTACCCTATACCCCACCTTTTTTTTCTTTTTTATGCAAGTAAATAATAATAATAATGATAATAATAATAATAATAATAATAAGTGTGTTCTATCTTACAATCAAAATCCTGGTGTTGATGTAAAACTAGAGCTGCACTTACTACTATCACTACTACTCTCAATCACAAATGCATCATCAACTTTTCAACTTCTTCTTCAACTACACTTTTAGTTGCAGAAGCTCATCCTCATCCTCACCCTCTTTCTCATCCCTTGGCATGCCCCTAATTCATCGATCCACCGACAAAAAAACCTCACAAATTCACCCCGACCCAACCCTACCCTACACTACCCTACCCTAGTTAAGCGCAGGGCGCGCTGCAAATGGCGCAGGCTTGGGATAAAATGGCAGTAGAAGCCTGAAATTCGAACATCTTGCAAAAGAGCCACTCGCGGCATAATACTTTCCGGAAAGCAGCATACATTACCATCCATGTCAGTCAGGCAAAGGCTAATGGCCAAATATCAGTATGGAACCACATAAGGCAGAGCATAGACATCAGCTTTCTCTATATGTACAGCTTCCGACCATACGCGCTCGTTGCCGGCTGAATCTGCTGCAGGTCTCATTGATGAAGGGCTCTTCTTTTTGGAAATCCAGTTATGGTCGTCATCTTCGGACCAGTCTGTTATCTTGGGTACTGCAAGCACTTCGGTCAGGTACTTGGAGTCGGGATGGGGTGGCCTCCTTAATGCTTCACCAATCAGATCCTCTAAGTCCGGCACCTTGACTGCCTTGCTTGTATTTGAATCATGGGGTGTCTTTGAAGCAGAAGGATTCAGTTTAGGTGGAAATGGCTTAGGGACTTCTACCATGCCATTCTTTGGCTGATCCTTTTTGTTCGGTCGAACCAATTCAGGAGCAGCCTGCATATCATGGGAGGGTTTAATGGGAGTTTGTAAGGCTTCAAGCTTCCTTCCGTTCTCGGTTGCGTGATGAGGGGCCATTCTTTGGATTTTATTAGGCCTGATATCAGTCTCTGTAACAAGAAATAGAAAATCAGAGCTAATAGCAATTTGCCATACTAGTTCATGTAATTATCTTTCCAATAACTAGAACAAACTTGTATTCTTACAATGGTGACTGATAAGAAAGAGAGCTCACCATGAAGGAAACCATTTGTATCTGTATCTTCTCTTTTTCGAACTTTTCCTCCACTAAAAGAATTGTTGTCAGAACTCCTCAACACATCAGTGCTTGTACGGCTGATAAATCCACCAACAATACTTCTCCCGTCATCTTTCAACTTGCCCAACTCATTTTTTTTATTTTCAGTTTTGATCTTTACAATGTCATCCTTTTTCTTCTCTTTTTCCTTCTCAAGGATTTCATTCTCTCTAGCCTTCTGCTTATCCCTCCACTTATTGTCACCTAATTCCTTGTATCCCTCCTTATCGCCAGTCAATCTGCCATTTTGTACATCATTGTGACCAGGAATTCCTTTAGCTTTATTTTTCAATGTTGGGGATGCTTTGGGGACCAATTTATTCCCCCTATACTCATTCCCAAGTCCATGAGGATCTGTTTTTCTATCAATTCTTTTAATTCTGTTATCGACCTTTTCATCTGACAGCACTTCCAAAGAATGCCTGACAGCAGCATATCCCGCCATCTCTTGACCCCTCTTGTCCACATCAGGAACCTTCTGAGGCAATTGACTACCTCTACCATTCTCATCATCTCTGATTCTCCTATCCAGTTCCTGCACAAATTTTGAATCATCGATTGCCTGGGAGAGCTGACTGCCCAGTGAAGGTCTCATACCATTTTGACCATGATAGAGGGTAGTATATTTTCCCACGTTTGATAAACCTCCTCTGTCATTACCGTGACCTATTGGATGAACCTTAACTCGACTTTCTTCGTCAAGATTCCTGGCAACTGTTGACTCCTCTGAAATGCTGCTTTTCTCCTTGTCTTTCCCTCGATCCTCTTTGTCCTTGTCTTTGTCCTTCTTCTTGTCCCTGTGCTTTTCTTTCTTGTCCTTGTGTTTTTTATCTTTCTTGTCTCTGTGCTTCTCACTACCTCCATCTTTATCCTTTTCTTTATCTCTCTTCTTTTCCTTGTCCTTTTTCGCTTTCTTGTGTTTCTTCTCTTTGTGCTTTGCCTGAAAAACACAAGAATGGGGCATATTCCATCCATTATAATTGCAAAATGTACGGGTCTACTGGAGTATACAAAAAAAATAAAATAAAAACATAATGCATTTACGAATCTTTGAGGAGTTTGCAAAAACAAAAACAATAACCCAAATAATCATACTTCATAATTTCGGCAAAGTTTCTTGAGATAGTGATCAGCCAGAAGAGGCAAATTAAATGTCTGAAATAAGATGAACTATGCCAACTATTCCAGCTATCATACAACAAAATCTAAATATCAATTCTCAGAGTCAAGAAAAGACTGTATCATAGCAAGAGAATCAAAGTTATGAGCTGAGATGAACATAGAGACATTACAAACAAAGGACATTAGACACCATCCCTAAAACAGAATAAGGAAAAGAACAAAGAACAGACAATAGCCGCAAAGAGGGAAGCTTTTCACAAGAACATATTATGTCAGAGAGGGAACAAGTACAATGCAGTTAATCTTCTGTCATCAACACCTAATAATGTCAAAAGGGGCAGCATATATTATAAACTAAAACATCACATTATGTTGGGCTCTCTCCCAATTGTTTTATTATTTAAACTATTATTTTTCCTCAAAAAAACATCACTTCCAACACTCATTTTTCATACAAAACATTACATCCAACAAAGAATTTCACCTCAAAACTATCAAAACCGAAAACACTAAACAAAAGCAAAAGCACAAAAGAAACACAAAAACACATGTAAACAATTATAATTAATCATTTTCAACAAATATTTATAAATCTCTCAGCAGTATTTTCAAATATATAATAATATTATAAAACTCAATAAATAAATAAATAAATAATTATAAACATTATTTAACGGAAAATAAAAATCATCAGTTTTTTAGGTAAATAAGTGTCATTTCGGAAAAAATATATATATAAGTATTGTGATGTTATTCATACAAAGTACGAATAATATTCTCTAATGAATATATATAGGGAATATAATTTCCATATAATTTAATGATTCCATTATTTAAATATTTATAATTGAAAAACATCAATTGCAGAGAAAATTGAAAACGAATGTTACAAAATACCATATGCATACACACATACATACACAACTGAAGAATAAAAGGTTGAAATATATTATGGTTATAACTTGAAGCAAAAGAAAACACTTCATAGTTTGTACCATATGCTCAACTTTTTACACTACATATACCTAATGCACTCAATAAGATCTTTCCGCACATATTCTTAGTAATGATATATAAGAAACCAGCTAAGGTGGAAACCAATCACCAGATTAATATTAATTCTACATTGAACCAGTTCTAATCAGATCAGAATAAACTCGTCGTAGAAATGACAAATGAAACAACACAGATAACATGGAATATATTAGAGCCTTCAAAGTATATGATACCTCCACAACGCTAATTGCACAACATAGGAAGACAACTCTTTTCTCCATGTATCATGAAAACAAATTATACTTGAGATTAATTGGTATGATTGAGGCTAATTTATATCCAAATGTGAGAATAAACAAAGTTTATCAAAAGTTCCTACAATCCATAATGTATGACACCAAAAGAAAGGGTTGAGATATAAGTGGCCAAAAGAGTCGTTAATAAAATCATAAATATTATTTAAATAAGTTCATCATTAAGCAGGAACAGAATCAATTGAATAATCCATAATCAATTGTTGTCAACTCAACAAAAATTACAGAAATGATAAATGACACAATGCATGTATACTTTTTAAATTAATGTTGAAAACATTTCCATGCATCTTTCATTTAGCCTGATCCTATGATAAAGTTTACTAAATCATCACTACAAATTTCTAATGAAGCAAAAACAATGTGTAAATCCAGCCCTCATTGATACCCCCTCTGCATTTGTAAGCATCACATATATTTTCATAGTTCACTTTGTCTAGTTTCAGCAGAAATAGTTGTCTATTGGTACTCAAATTAATTTACACAAAGAAAACTATTAGTTCCAAAAATACAATCAATCAGCTATATAACTAGCTAGTACTATTCTTGAATTACTGGCTATCTGGGTTAGGGTTCCCACAATTAAATACTCCTCAAAGTATCTAAGAACGGGGATGTTTCCTAGAGTTCCTCAATTGAGATGAAATTGTAGGAAAGGTAAATCAGCTTAACTGCATTGCTTGTCAAATTTTTCAAAAGAAGAACCTTTGTTATAGACTTTGTACAGGACATAGCAGATTCATTGGTAGTATCGAATTTTGATGTTTCAAGGTAAGGTGCATGAACATTTTTTAATCTCATTTGAGGGAAAATATGTTCAAGGCATATTTAATTACAAGCCTTTTTTAAACTAAAAAGAAAAAGAAAAAGTGTGAACAACACATACAGGAATATGTCTGGGATATATTAATCATTGAAGATCCAGAGATGGCAGTGTACAAGCACCACCTCAAGTATTTACACTTCATTTCTAGGTCCTCTGATATCAACCTTTAATGCAAAAGGTTTAAATTTGGTTATCAACCTTTCTACTGACCAAATTTAATTAAGTTGTAATACACTAATGAAATCGTTATGCACAACATGAAATGTATTGTGCATGTGTGCTTTGATATCATTTCTTGCATGCCGTATCCTCATAGATTCTGATTTTTCTGACCTGTTTCTCAGCATCTTAATAACAACAGAACTCTCTGTTACTAAATTCAAGAGACTCTGATCGTTATAACTGAACATTTACTTTTCCCTTTAATATAGAACTAAAGGGTAAACACAAAAGTACAGTTCAAGATAAGCAATGTATCCACATCAAAATGTATCAAACAAATAAAATAAAACTTCCAAGTACTTCATTCATTATGTCAAACCATAAAGAAAATTGGAAATTACAATAAAAAACCACCAAGGTTGAAAGTCAAGAGAACAAACACAACTTTCAAGAAGAGATCCACATAAATGGGTGATGTGCCCTAATTAAAGACTTGTGTACTTTAATCCTTTTATGCGTTCAGTTAAATTCTTCACACACAAACAACTTCTGGTTCTGTTTCTAGTTTAAAACTAATGTAAGAACAACATAGTTAAGCCCAATAAATCATAATGTTCTGATAATTTCTTTTAGTCCTTTTTTTATCAATTTTCAGGATTGATGATTTTATGTTGGTCATATTCAAGAATCACAGTATAGACCTCAACCGAAACAGGTTTGCGGAATCAGTGTGCTATTGATTAGTGGGGTTGTACAATTTGAAAATCCTTATGAGGCCCACAAAACTTCAGATAAACATAGTGTCAACTAATCAATGCCAATAAGAGTACATTTTCAAGCTAGGCGTATCTTCTCACTCTTCACAAGTCTGATGTATTTACCCCAACTTCATCAAAACCAAGCCACAGAACATCACATTACTCAATCAAGAATAGTTCCCTACCACACTAGTCATCTATAAGATTGAATACATTTTCTTAAATTCGGTATGCCAGCAATCATACCACTGAAAATTCAGGGTCAACATTGGATTTTCGAATGATGAACACCACTCAAATTTCTGTATCAGCTTAAAAATGATAGTAATTGCAGATCACATTTCCAGCCCCAACAGTTTCGCTATCCCCTTTAGAAACTCTCCCTACCAACTTAATATCACCAATCTTATCAAATGCTCAACCAGAGCTAGATATCAATATTAGTGTCATGGACGTTATCTAAACTTCTTTATACCCATCATAAGGAAGCATATCAACTATTTTAGGTGCAAAACACACAATTTTCATTTGTAGATCTAATCTAAAAGTTTAGAGTGGCCCACCCTTGTCCTGCACATGCTTACTATTTGCAATCTTGCAAAAATTTATGCCACCTTACATGAAGCAACAGGAGATAGAAAAGTGAAGTGTGTATTAATAAGCATAATAGCCATGTTCCCCAAGTCAAACTGTTGCGGTAACAATTTCATTAGTCAAAAGTGATGGTCAAACAGGACAAGGAAACAGCACAGAAGTTCCACCACAGATATGCGATATCATTAAATACAAGAGACCTAGGCTAGTTAAGTTATTTATGACAAATCAGAACCATTAAATAAGTAACCCTAGATCCTGCCGTTTGCGTGACAGCATTTATATACAATACCAACATGCACCCATACAACTAAGAGTTTCTTTTTACAGATAAAAATTTTATTATCAGGATAAAACAAACGGCAAAATAAATGAGCACAGTATTTATACCATCAGTGATCATAATAGAAACTGAACCTAATATTAATTTTCTTCTAATGCTCTGTAAAGCTAAATCTTCTATTTCACGAACCTACTGGCAGTGTCTTAACTATGTAATCCTATTTCTTATTCGAGATCATTCTCTTCTAGTAATAAATTTATTATGCCACATACAAATAAGAATTTCTTTTTACAGATGAAATATTTATTATCAGGAATTCAGGATAAAACAACAACTAACATACTTAAATAAATGAGCACAGGATTTACCCATCAGTGATCATAATAGAAACTGAATCGAATCTTAATTTTCTTCTAATGTTCTGTGAAGCTAAATCTTTTATTTCACAAACCTACCGGCAGTTTCTTAACTATGTAATCCCATTTATTATACGAGATCATACCGTTATAGTAATAAACTGCTTTTACTTTCAAAACAGAAAAAATATCCTACCTATTTTCTATAATCTGATGCATTCTTAGCTAATTTTTTGCGTAGGAAATGAAAGTTCAAGTTGTTAGTAATCAGGAGATAAGAATATAAGGTACTATATTTCTCAAATTGCATGGGATGTGTGAAAAGGAAGCAAAAGGCGCAAGGAGAAACAAACAAACCTCTTTCAATAAGTTCAACTCTTCTGGTCGATGCTGTCTTTCATATCCTGGTGGCGGAAATGGAAAGCAGCGAGACATTGCACACTTTCCCTTCTAAATAAAATACCACAATCAAAAAATAAATAATCTTTTGTTACTTTCGCAGTATAGCTTCAATATTGCAATAATCCTGTGACTACAGGGCTGCCCATGCTATCACTGCACACTGATTTCCAGAATAGCTCTGAATCTGTCTAGCCACTTGCTCATTCCCCAGCTCAGCCAATCCACACAAGCGCTTTTGTTATTTCAGGCTTTATACTACATGCATACAAATTCTAAAAGATCGTCTCCAATGTCAATCCCAGTACCGCGTCTTTATCACACAACAAAAGGTTTACAGAAAAAGTAGCCAGAGTCAGCCGCGCAGGTTCAATAGCAACGTATTCAGTAAGATATTCGGGTAACAGAATGAAGGATAGTTTAAGCTCTCACAAAAAAAACTTTTGCAGAAACGCTTGGGTAATCTACAGAGCTTCTTTATAATATGTTTTACTGATGGATGATGCTTTTGGAGGTCTACCAAGAAATATCACTCAGGAGTTCATCAGTCTCACTTTACACTTCAATCGCCAAAAATGTACTTCCAAAGATCAATCCCCGACTAAATTAAAAGTTCCAAACCTAATCTCATAAGAAAATCCAAAAATTATGGTTTCTCCAGTTCTGGCTAAGTATATTTGTGTGAACAGTCCTCCTCCATGCCCTCTCTGGAAGCAACTTGACTCAGAATTACAATGCTTACACTTAAAGATGAGTTTTGAGCTCCTTAGGGGAAAGCCAACTCCAAATAAATTTTCAACCTGCAGGGTGGAGTCCGCCTGGGCAAGCACCAGGAAACCTCAGCAGTTTCCAATGAATGCTCCTATTCCAGAATAGGCTGATCAAAACCCTAATTCCAGCTGAAAACACCCCGCTCACCAATATTTGATCAGACGTGAAAACCCTAGATAAAAAACCACCATCAGTACACGGAATCTCACAAGAACCAAACCCTAAATTTCGCAGAAACTCAAGCAAAATTCCGATTCAATTCATCAAAGTGGATTTTTGGTTCCTTTACTCAGCAAAAATTCAGCACTTTCCCGAAGGAAAAGAAAGGCGAGCGCAAAACCAGCACATAAAATAAAATTTTGCTTTTCAATGAAGAATCGGATCAAGAAATTATTCCAAAATTTCAAAAAAAAAAAAAAAAACAAAAAATCCTTCGAATTCCAAAATCGAAATCTAAAATTGGAGAAACTGAGTCCGAAATCAAAATCTAGCAAGTGTTAAGTAAATTATCGAATCTAATCCGACCTTAATCAATCAATCAATCAATCCATCATCTATATATGTTTTACCTTGCCCGCTACAAAATGAGGGAGCATTTGTAGAAAGGGCCAAGATCCCAGGTTAGTTTTTCACTTTTTTTTGTTTCTTTTTTTCTTGTTCGCAAAAACACACACTAGGAAGGGAAGGGAAGCAATTCAAGCAGTAATCAAATCCTCCTTCCTCTCCTCTCCTCTCGTCTCGTCTATGTACAGACAGACAGACAGCAAAGATGGATAGATAGATAGATAGATATATAGGGATTTAGGTTTTTGCTGTCTTCTTCTTCTTCGTGTGTGCTGTGCTGTGCTGTGCTGCGTAGGAATAACAGGCAGGCAGACAGAGGTTTATTTTGGTGCTAGGGAATACCACGCGAATCGGGGAGAAAATGTGGCCAGAGAGGAAAAATGAATTGAAGGCATAGTCTCTCTCGAGTACTTAGGGGGAGAGAGAGAAGGAAATAGACAGAGAAAGAGAGGACTCTCTCTCTCTATACATACAGATAGTGTGTATGTATATGTGAGAAGATAGACTCATGGCTGAACTTGACAGACAGTAAAAAGAATGTGTGAAATTATTAGTGCATAAATTTGGAATTTTATTTTCTTTTATTTTATTTTCCTTTTACGTGGTTTGGAAGACTTTGGGTGCGTTTTTTTTTTTTAAAAAAAAATAAAAATAATTTATCAAATATTATTTAAAAATTTTAAAAATAATAATATTTTAATTATTAAAATGAGACAAGTAACACATAAGGTGATAATATTATGAAAATTTTGTTTAGAAATTTATAAAAAAAATAAATTATGAACATAATAAAATAATAATAAATTAATTATTACTTGATAAAGTACAAATAATAAAATTATGAGTATAAAATAGTTTATTACTATAACATAGAAACATAAGAAGTATAAAAAGAAATATACATAAATTTACAGAAAATATATATATATATATAGTAATAACATACTCCCTCCGTCCAGCTACAAAGTATACATATTTCTATTTTGGGACGTCCAATTACAAAGTAACCATTTCATTAAATACTCCACTTCTTTTCCACAAATACCCTTACTTTACATCACATCATTACTTTTATACCAAAAAGCAAGGGCAAAAATGTCATTAAACTACTTTTACCTATCCATTATAATTAAAATACCATTATTTCTTAAACTCCGCGCCAAAAGTAACTGTATACTTTATCCGTGGACGGAGGGAGTATTACTTTCTTCCGTCTCTAAAGTCTCATTTATTTATATTATTTTGATATTTAAATATTAATTATTATATAAAAATTTAATCTTCATTTGCTTTTTGCACGGAGTTTTAGAAATATTAATATTATATTGAGATAATGTAGAAATAAATATAAAAAGACTAAATTAACTCTAGTAATAAATATTAGTATTATATTGAGATAAAGTAGAAGTAAAGGTAAAAATACTAAATTAACCCTATTAGTATTGTCTAATATAAAAATAATGGTATTTGTGTAATATATTGTGAACTGAAAGGGTATTTGTAATGTTAGATATGTAGTGCAGTTACTAAAAAATAAAATGAATACTTTATTACGAGACGAACCAAAATGAAAAAATGGATAGATTGTTAAGGGGCGGAGGGAGTATAAATTAAGGGAAATGAGCAAAAAATACTATTACAATGACATTTGTGTGCAAAGAAATTATACAAAATATAAGGATATTTGACATTTGTGCAAAAAATTATACAAATATAAATATATTTTTAATGCTAAATACAATGACGACGCAAAAAGTTAATAAAACTCTTAGAGTCGGACAGATGGAGTAATTTTTAATAGACAAAACAATACTATAATTTGTATATTTCCTCCGTTCAAGAGTGACTTTCTCATTTTATCATTTTAGTTTGTTCAAGTAAAAAATTTTCAATTTTTTTTTTTAAAAAATGTAACTCTCAACTAAATACTAATTTTTTATTTTTTTATTTTTTACTTTTTCACATTATTCTTACTTTAATGTCAAATATAAATTGGATATTATACTACTCTCTCAGTCCAAGCTAAAAGTATACAATTACTTTTGGCGCGGACATTAAGGAATAATAGTATTTTAATTACAGTGGGTAGATAAAAGTAGTAAAATGACATTTTTGCCTTTACTTTTTTTGTATAAAAGTAATGATGTGATGTAAAGTAGGGATATTTGTAGAAAAAATGGGGTATTTAATGAAATGGTTACTTTGTAATTGAACGTCCCAAAATAAAAATATGTATACTTTCTCACTGGACGGAGGGAGTACTATATTATACTATATATTTATAAAATATTAATTTATCTTAATTTATGTGTAAAAAATCAATTTTAAATCATTTATTGAATATACCATCTAAGTGTATGTTTGATTTCAAGGTTTACGAGGAGAAAAACGAGAAGATTTTTTTTAACTCCCTCCGTCCCATAATTAAATATTCATTTTTTTCACATAATTTTAAAAATATTAATATTATATTTGTATGTAGTAGGAATAAAGTAGAAAGGACTAAAATAACCTTATTAGTACATGCGATGTAAAGGTAATGACATTTGTGTAATATATTGTAAGTTGTAACGGTATTTGTATTATTAGGTAGATAATACAGTTACTCAAAAAAAATAGATACTTTGTTATGAAACAAACTAAAATGAAAAAATAGATATTTTGTTATGAGACGGATAACATATTTGATTCGATTTTTTCTACGAATTAGGGAGAGAAAATAGTTGGTTTTTTTCTCTCAGAATGGGAAAGTTATATTAAATTTATTTACTTAATTTTGTTCATTTTTTTAAGAAATATAATTATATATTTTAATTATATTTTAAATTTAATAATTTATAATTTTAATTAAATTATTTAATTATTTTAATTTTAATTTATAATTATTTTTATTATATAATAATTTAATATACTTTTTTAATTTAAATCATCGGAACTATAGTAATACATCAAAAAAACATTTAATGAATATCTTGGATGTAAATTTATTCAGATTATTTGATTTTATATATAATTTGTCCTTTAAAATTATAGTGTATTATTTTTGTCCCGAACAAATAATTTATTTGTTTTGAGTATAGTATAATTAATAAATTATTAATAGTAAATTATGATATTATTTTATAATTTTTTATATAAATAATATTGTTGATACTTTAAAAAATCTAAATTAATGTATAATATTAAAAAATTACAATGTGTTTAAATTTTTTATAGTATTACATTTCAATAAAATATATATAAAACAAATATCATTTTTTTTATAGAGATTAAAATGTTTACATAAAAAAATAAAAAATAAAAAATATTTAGTTATTTATCATTAATTTAAACTATGACTAAAAAAGAAAAATAATCATCTCTCATGAAACAAAAGTAGTATTTATTTATTTTTGTATCCATCTTAAAACGACATATTTGTTTCTTATTTGGTAATATTATAAATATTATTATAATTTAGAATAGATTACATAAATATCATTATTTTTATGTTACACAATATTAATTAAAATATTTTGGCTATTTATTAATTTGTACTATAAACAAATATAATACTTCTTCTGTCCTTAGTCAAAAATATTATTATTATTTTTTTGTATTTTAAATACATAATTTTTTTATAATAAATTTTTTTTATCTAATCACTATTTTATTATCTTTATTTTAATAAATAAATACTATTATTATTATTGTATTATTTACTTTTTATTTTTTATTCTATAATAAATTTTTTTATAATACTGTTATTTTAATTTTAATTTATTCTATTTTAATATTAAAATGTTATTTATTTTTAATATCGCTATTCATATACTTTTATAATCCAGAATATATTTTTAAAAAGTTTAACGGCTAATAGATATAAATCTCTATCCATTTTTTAATTTTAAATATTTTGTCTTCAATGCGTTACCCTTTTACGGCTTCATTTATAATCCGCATCTTACCCTATTAATATTACTCTACATATTTGTTATTAAAATAACAAGTACATTATGGGTGATTCTTCGAAAATTAAATTGGCTTTGAAAATTTGAATTATTTATTAGAATAATATTTATTGGCTAAACTGTTTTTTTAATCACGTAACTGGACTCGAGTTCAGTAGGTGGAGCTGTCGTAAACTGGTTCTATAAGTGGAAAATTTTCGTTGTTTTAGTCCTTCGGCGCCGGAGACGCCTGCGTGGGTCGCCGGAAGCCACGTGTCCGCCAGGTCAGCGACACCTGGCGGACACGTGAATTTTATTTTATTTTTTTATTTTTTTTAATTGGACCAAATATATATATATTTTTTTAAAAAAAAGCAAATAAAATTAAAAATAAATTTAAAAAATTTAAAAAATAAAATATAAAATCCACGTGTTCGTCAGGTCAGCGACCCTTGGCGGACACGTGGCCTCCGGCGAGCCACGTGGGCGTCTCTGGCGCCGAATGACTAAAATAACAAAAAATTTTCACTTACAAGATTAGTTTGCGACAGACTCCACTTACGGGACTAAAATAATAAATGGGTCCTGGATTAAAAAAACACGGTTTACCTTTTTTTTTCTTTTAAAAAAATATTAAATATTTATATATATATATATATATTTAATAGGGCCATCGTAGATAATTTAATATTAAATCACACATAGATAAGGATTAGAATGTGTTTCCAAAAAATACATCCAATGCACATATGGTTCCGAGGTAGTATATGTAATTTTATAGGTAGAAAAATCTCTCCAATTATGTGTGTTTCTTTAAAATTTATTTATCAAATTTACTATTTGGATTATATATTAAAAAGAAAAGAAAAAATAAACATTTTTCCTCATTTTGTTTAGAATGTGTTTAATTTTGTATTTTAATTTAAATAAGTATTTTGAATTTTATTGTTTTGTGAAATAAAATAGTATTTATTTTATATACAAATTTGAGAAAATTATACAATAAAAAATACAAGAAAAAATAAAGAAAACATATGAATTTGTTTTTTTTTTGGATTAATGTTACTTTTATACTAGGTATATAGTATTATATTGATAATATAAAAATTAATTATTAATTTGTGTTTATTTATTTTTTGTGAATGAGTAAAAAATATATTATATATATTGTATTAATATTTATGTATATAATATTTTTTAATAATATTTATAAAAAATCATTCAATTAAAATCACTAAGTGAACAAACTTATATTTAAATTATAGATATTTTTAATCATATCACAGTAATTAAAACAATATGTATTATGTGTATTATTACTATGTGATTTGAGTTCATACTTTATATTTGTTCTATATTGAAAGACATTATGTTGAAATCAACTATAACATATATATATATATGTTGATTAATACCATATACTGTCAGTTTTTATCATACATTTATATTATATATAATTGCATTGAGATGAACTTAACATATGTT